TCGAATTCGGTTGAGAAATGATGAAACCACGAGGAAAATAAAAACTTCCGGTTTTTTTTGTGACCACCCGATATATAGTTTAAAACTAGCAAAATACATATTCATTGATGAGTTATATCACTACTATGATACTGGATTTAAACAAAAAACATCTAGTTTAGATGATTCAACATAGATCTGAGTATAGATAGATAAGACTCATTACGATACCTAATTATATATAAAAGAAATCAGTATATATGTGTATATTGAGATATATCGAAGAAATATATCGATATACAGGATGTTTCATATTTATTTGTCCAGGCTATCTCGGCGAAGTCAACTATTATATTCACAATTTGTGAAAATCTATAAAGTTCTTGAAATATTATTCAATTGATGGTACAGGCGATATTCAATTCAATGGATTGAACAGCTTTGAAAATAAACTTTTGCCGATTACCCCCAAGGATAAATAAATTTTAAACACCCTGTTTATTCGATATGTGAGATGGTATAAAGCGCCAAAGAGAAGTTGTAGCTTTTGATACTGGATCAACTATAAAAGAATTCAAAAAGTCGACAAACATTGACCACATAATATATTATAATCTTAAGAATTTCGAGATATTTGGCTTTAAAATTGCACCGAAGATATTTCTCACCCTGTAGACTAATATGCAGCACCATTGAACGCTATTTTTTATCCAATGTCCGTGTATAAATTTAGTCAATTAGTGATAGCGCATGGAATTGGAGCTGCATTTAAAAAAAAATGGTTGGCCTAAACCAAAGATGAATTTCAATATATTAATTGCCAGTATCAAAAGCACACCTTTCCAAAGCAATGGAGCAAAATGATTATTCTAAATGTAAATATTGTTACATATTATTAAAATAATAATCATATTTAACATAAAAAATATTCGAATGCAGCGTTGATTTTTATAATTTGAAAAAAGTTTCGGAGAAAATGTCGATCATTGAGTGGTAGATATTGTGTAGATACTTTTAGTATTCAAAATTTTGCCCAGAGTACGGATTACGTTCCTCTCTGAATATAACATATTTTCGTTTCGGGATATATTTGCATTTGTAAATCGAATCGATTTTGGTTTTTCGATGATTGGGGATTTTGAATGTGTAATACTGGAATGAATGGGCGATATGCTTGTCAGATGAATATATAGAATAAGAATTCTGTTATGAAATTATATGGGAACTACGGAATATGTAAAGTTTCCTGAACGCAATAAGATTCTATCTCTATAAGACTACATAGTGTTATTTTCCTTCCCGTTTTCCAAAGTAATCAGTCAAAATAAATACTCCTCAAACTATGAATTGATTTTTCCATATGTGTATAATAATCAGTAGCCAGTGAAATCCATTTTATGACAGAATGAATACTGATGTTAATTCTATTTCTTTTCTTTTCACTTATATCAAATAAATATCTTTCTTTTCCGTAATTTCTTTATATATTTCATTGACATTTACAATCATTCATGAATTAATTATCTGACACTGTCACTATTTTCTCTCTTTTAACAACATACAAGGTGTATTTGGAAACGAACGAATATAAATAATACTTCCTTAACAAATACAACATTTGCAATATCAGGATGAAATTATCATTGATCAATAAGAATATGTTTTTACCTACAGCCACTATAGAAAGTAGGCAAGAACACACGAGATACAGTCTCAGTAAGTAGCTCTTTACGCACAGTAAGCAGATCGCACAGTTTTCGTTCATTCCACCAGTCATGATCGCGTAATCGCCGTCAACAGCGGATGATATAACTGTCAAGAATTATAATTCAGACTGTTTGTCCAATCTTTTTTGATGTAGGTACTATATGGCAGTAGGTAATGTATAGTACATAATGCGTGTTGTAAAGCAATTACGCACTCATGCGGAATTACTTTTCCATTCGTGCGTAATAATATATATGCTTCTTACAACACATATTACATAATATACTATTACATGACAACTGCAACTTATTCAAAATCAACTCATACAGAGTGCACGCAACTAAACCTTGATATATTACATTGTCTGCCTTCTTGCATGGAATGAAGTCATTATAATAGAATATAATTTCAAAACAATTCATCTCTAAACCGATCAGGTCTCAAAATTTTACGTTCAGATCTTGAAGTAGAACCAGACAATTCCGTTGCTAAATGCGAATTTAGGCGAATATTCATACTCATCAATCATCACGACTGCTTCCTGACGATGTACATGACGTTAAAATTGGACCTTTAGGTGCTAGATCTCATTAGAGATCCACGATGAACAGAGTTGCTACAATTGTCAGCAGGAGCAAGACAGTACTGTTTCGACCCACCAGGACTCATCAGTCGCTCTCGGTCTGCTGACAACTGGGACAGCATCACTATGCTTCGGGTATATCACCCATTTCGAAGACGCAGGGTATAACATGAAGTTATAGTCATGTTTGTAGCCATCTAGTGGCAAAGCTCTAAGGTAGGATACAGAAATCGCGTTAGTTATGAGATCTAGCAGTTGAATAGGTGGTGGAAAAATTCCACTCAATTATGTCAGGTAGTGCCATCTGGCAGCAGAGTGGTTTACTTGTAGTACCACTGTAGCGTATAGACGTAGGGGTTTGAACGTGTGACTATAGATGGCAGCGCCATACAGTGTGTGTCGCGATTTCTATATCCTACCTTAGAGCTTTGCCACTAGATGGCAACAACATGACTATAACTTCATGTTATACCCGGGAAGTGTATAATCTCTGCCCACACAGAGAACTCTTTGAGTTCTGTGGTTATACCAAAGAATAGTAGGTTTTGGCACCGAACATAAACGTCTCTGTTTATGTTCGGTGGTTTTGGTTGAACCCTCTGGACCTTTAGCGAGTTACGTATTAAGGGCGTGTTTTTCATTCCAACATTTTGTCATGCGCATGAATCGAAGAATCCATCGTAGTGTTGCAAAATTCCGCTGGAATGTTGTTGGAAATCCATCAAACTGTTGTAATAAAATGCGCACTTTCAAATCGCTTTGCGGGAATCCAGCGGTTTGGAGGAGACTGACATGACAATTGACACATTTTACGTATTGTTTCAGTGATTGTTTCTCGTTGTTAATTGAAAATATAGAGGAATTTTTGAATTTTGAGATTGTTGAGAGATTTGAGAATATGGAGAAATAAGTCTTAATCAATAAAATGGTATCATCTTCTTCTAATTCTGAAGACACATAACGACTGACACACAACGAAATCCTTTTTTCCATCAATGTGTTGTATAATCCATTCTTCCATCGTTCCAGCATAAATTCCATCAGAACAATTGGTGACGTCACGACAAAAAACCGCATCTATCAATGCGCACTTTCTTCGATGGAATGAAAAACACGTCCCTTTGCTTTCATGAGTGGAAATGGAAGATTATCTGACCAATAACGAAACAGCATAAAAGCTGACGTCAACATTTATTCGACATATCGCCAAATGGCCGCCATGAAGGTTCGTTTGAAATGAGCTCCGAAATTCAACAATTTCGAACAACGCATGAACTTATTTACTCGCCCATATTGTCATGATGTTTCTTTTGTGATATTTTTTGTTAATCCTGGCTATTAACTACTCTATAATCTTTAACCATTATTCTCTCCCCTAACTTATAAGTTCGTCATGCTCCTTCCTATGTGTATAAACTGATATTGTTTCTGAACATTATTTTGTCAATGATAATTTAATGTTTTTACATGACAACTTCAACTCTGATTTTACCGATTCTTATTCAAAATCATCTCATACAGAGTACACAACTGAAATGATACAATCATTGGATATTTTAAATCAGCAGGAATACGGTTCTTCAATAATAGAAATCGTCACCATTATACATGACAAACATTATCTCTGCCCAATCATATCTCTCACATTTCTGGACAACCAATGAGAGCATCACCATATAGCAAGAATTCCCATTTACCATAGGGGTGTACTGCATATAAGCCTACGCCACCTATCGGACTTCTTGAAAGCTGTCAAAGCGGCATGTTTACTATGTTTTCATTGGTTCACATTTGTTTTTTTTTAGTGCTTATTGGTCATATCATCAAAACAAACCGCTCAGAAGTGTTCAAGTTGTTGCCGCCAGGTGAGGTGAGGTATTGGGGAAGACCACTGAGAGAAGAAATCCGTGCAAACCTCTTTCAATCGACGAATCATGATTTACGTATGATGTACAACTACTATTATGAGTTGAAGTTGAAGGGAATCGAATCTATATCGTATTGAAATCAGCATATTTCATTCGATATTTCAAACAGCCCAATATAATGGTGGAGTCGTGACGTATTAGTCCCGAACTGTAGCTATCTCTCTCTGATACTCGTCATTCTGCAGTGTTGCAGTGTGATTGGTCAGTTCAAGGACAATAGGCGTGTTGGGAATAAGACTTCGCACCAGTCACACCAATGAATTGACAAAATTTCAAATGGCGCAGGAATTGTGTGTTTTGAAATGGACATATTCTAATTTATTATTTTCATCGTCTTAGCATGAATAACAAAATTCAAAATTGATTCGCTGGTAGTTTTTCAGTATAGAGTTCACGATGATGTCATTTTAAAAAATCAGTGGTCTCCCCCACAGTGAGTCACCACTAAGAAAGAATATTACAAAAAATATCAATTATATTGTGGTTGTAACTGAGTTGGAGTCCTCAAATTAACATAATAATAATTATCCAATTATTGGACCCTTTAGGAGTTATTGTTGATATTTTTTTTATCTTTCAGTGAAATAATTTGTCAAATCCAAATTGAATTTGAACTAAATAGCAGCAGATGAACCTTCTTATATTGTTTATTCTAAAACCCAATGAGTTTAATAATGATAAGTATTTATTTAAAAATCTGGTCAGCTCTCTGTGTGTGAAACAAAACATTTTCCAAATCTCTCTGAGACATTGAAACAAATGAAACATCAATGAAATCTTTGATATTCAACTAGTGCAATTATTCATGTCTCATCATCTTCTGCCATCATTTGTGCTATAAGCCTTTTCCTCTCTTCAGCTTGCCTCAGCTTGGTCAATGTGACACTTTCAAAATCAGATTCTTTAATCAAATTACTAGTGGGCTTGTTACCTTTAGGGGGGCCATCCACCCAGTCCAATTTCAAGGGGTTTATTGATAGGCCAGTCTCAAAATCAACTGCCATTTCCTGAAAAACAAAACTGCAATGCAAGTTCAAGCAAATTCAAGAATACATACAGCAGCTTTTTTATCCTTGAATTCCACTAAGGCACTTCCAGTTTTCTTTGGGGACATCACTAAAGCCTGTATATCACCATACTGAAAAAAAGAGGCTTACATTTGGATCTAGACAAATCAGATAGCCTACTTTAGATAGAAATCTGTGAAGCATTTCTTGACTGTACCCTCCATTAGTAGGATCATTTTTATTTGCTGCCCACTTAATTTTGATTCTGTGCACAGATCCATCAAAATATTCAGTGTTCAATGTTCTTTCTTCCCTCAGTTTCCTTGTGACATATTCAACTTCTTCTTCCACTTGCTTTGAACCTTCTTTTCTCAGACGATCTATTTCTTCCTTAAACCCAAGAAGTTGTTTTGAACCTTCAGCACCATGAAATATTCCAAATCTTAGCTTACTCTTAATAATTGATCAGCAGATTTTTTGGAAGTGATGCCTCTCTCCCTACTTTCCAAATCCTCCTTGAGTTTTCTTCTCTTGCTGTCCAACTCCTTGTGGCGTAGGGCAGCTTCTTTTTTGCCTTTCAATACCTTGTCATAAGCTGCTCTAGCTGCTTCATCTGTTAGTACTTCTAGGACCTTGGATAATTCGTGAAATTTTTTAGAGGCATTTGGATCATCAGGGTTCTTATCGGGATGGCACTGTAGAGCTTTTTTTCTATATGCTTTTTTAATCTAGGAATATAAAGGTTAGCAAACAATATTATATTGAAATCGACCTCAATTACATCTGCAACAGTGCTGGTGATGTCTATTTCAAGCAATTCATACAGATCTAACTCCTCAATCTTCAAGTCTTCCATTATCAGTCCAAATATTCACTTCAATGTATTTCAAAATTTAAAATAAAATTTGTAAACACTAGAGACTAGAGAGTAAATAGTAAACACCAAGGTAAACACGATAACCTCACAAAATCAGGTACGATGACAGATGAAATAGAACTCTTCTTATTTTATTATCTTGTCTCATCGTGAACTAACTCATAGAACAGCTAGCTGTCTGGTGACATTAGAACAATACGATGTTGCCTTTATACACCAAATCAATAATTGTCTTGGATCACCTTGGCATGAACCAACTATCAGTCTTTAAATTGAATAAGAAGAAATAGTGAGACCTTAACCTAATCTCTTGTTTCAATAATGGAAAATGGAAGAACTAGAATCTTCAGAATTAGGAACTTTGGAGTACTGGGAAAATCGCTACAAAGATGAAATTCACAATTTCTCTAACCATGGTGATCCTGGTGAAGTTTGGTTTGGAGAAGACATTGTAGATCGTGTTATTCGCTGGATGAACGAATCCGATATTATTGAGAAAAACTCGAAAATAGTTGATATTGGTTGTGGAAATGGTATGCTGCTAGTGGAATTAGCTAATGAAGGGTATAGAAATCTCATAGGACTGGATTATTCCGAAAATGCCATAGACTTAGCTAGAAAAATTGCAGAAAAGCAAAATTTGAGCATTGAGTTCATGACTTGTGATGTTTTGAAAGGACTGCCAGATAAGTATGAGGTAGTACATGATAAAGGAACATATGATGCTATCAGCCTAAGTGAGAACCCTAAAGAACAAAGGGAAAAATATATTGAAACAGTACACCACAGTCTTGATGAGATGGGTGTTTTAATTATTACCTCTTGCAACTGGACACAGAATGAACTAGAGGAACAATTCAATGGTAAATTCCAAAGAACAGCAACCATCCCAACCCCTCAATTCAAATTTGGTGGAAAAATTGGAAGTGTTGTTACATGTTGTGTTTTCCAGAAAAAATAAAATTCAAAGCTCTATTTCAATTCTTTATTTAGTTCAATTTCAATTGTATAGTAAACAACAATGTGCAAAAACATGAATATAAATATATAAAAATGTGTAATAACAAAATAACACTCAATTTTGTAGTTTGAAATTTGAAAGCAAACATGGGATGATTACACAGTGAATTACTTTCTCTCATAATACTATGAAAATAAGAAGTAAATTACACTCATAAAGGAAGTTATTGTTTCAGAATTCATCAAAAACCCTAAAGTAAATAATCACATGTAAATGGATGAATATTAACCTATGGAATTCAAAGCCAAAGATATAAATAAAACACCTATATACTATATCACTCTCAAAAATTGGAAATGCATTAGCAATTAGTGTATTCAAAATATTTTGTGACAATAACAACTATGAATGGTCAAAAGGTAAACTACATTGAAGTAGTGAAAGGCAACTATTTGTGATCTATTCATAAAACTTTCATATAAATTTGAATATTTCCAATATTCCTAATTGTTACCTTTTAATAATGACTAGAATCTACCAAATTCTAAATATTTCAAACTCTTCAGAAATTTTATTAGCCATCAGGAAAATTATGACTGAAAATTGTTAATATATAGACTTTCCCTGCTAACATAGCAGACTTTGTCAAATCTTTCATACTCAATGTAAGCATTTAAGTAAACTTTCTTGTTCAATATAACTGAGAATATCCCTTTTCAATATATTCACATCCATGATTAATAATGAAAAAAAAAAGGTGACTGAGATTAGTCCCAATCTCGGTCCCAATCCAGATATATCTCATTAAATAAATAAATGATTAAGGAACAATGTCTTAAGAAATTCAATTTGACAACTGAGACATGATTTCCTTCAGTTTATTTGCAGAATTATCCACATCCAAGTTGGAACTCAACTTATTAAGAGGTGCTAAAATGTTACTAGCCTTCAAGTGGTCACATACCACTGCAGACTTCACAATCTGTTCCAATAAACATGTCAAGTTGTCTATGGTACATCTATCCATTTTCTCACTGTACTTTGTCAAGACAAAGTTCAGATTTTTCCCAACATTAGCATCCACCAAAACATCCATCAATTTGCTGTTGATTTTTTCCTTGTCATTGCTTGCACACAACAATGTCAAGGCATAAAAAGCCTCATTTTGCATCACAGCATGATTGGATGAAATCATTTCCACAATGCATTTAACACTATCTTCAACATCCAATAAACCCTCATAGGGTTTGGTGGAATGACAGTGTTTTATAAGCCAAGCCAGGAGCCTTGGCACTTCACCTCTGACCCCCAAATGGTCTGAGTTGTAACACCAATATACCAGGCGTTCAATGAAGTCCTTTCTGGAGATCAAATCCAGTGCAGCAGATTCTAAAATGAAAATATTCAAGAAGTTTGTGAGAATGCTGATGTTTTATAGTAGTCACCTTGTCCATCTATAACCATTCTGAATGTTCCCAATAATTTAAAGATAACAAGAAACTGATCTATTTTAATCATTGGGTAGATTACTTCAATTAAACCTTCTTTCAATACAAGTCCTTTATTTTCTTTAGGTATCACCAAGTTTTTCAAAGTACTTAACAAAGCATGTTGTATTTTAACATCTGCTATATCAGTACTAGTATTATATTTTGAAAGAATATCTGTAAATGGCAGTAAAAAAATAAAAGAATCCCGTTCAAGTTTCCTTTAGCTGAAATCAGTTATGGAAAATTTGTTGCTATGGCAACCATTGTCATGGTAACAGAACAGGTAAACAGAAAACAAAACCCGGTGGTGAGGAAATGCATGGTTGCCAAGTTGTATCCGGTTTAGTATAACTGAAATCAGTTATGGAAAAACTGTTGCCATGGCAACGATCGTCATGGTAAGGAGTAAACAAGAACCCGATTCCCGTGGTGAGGAAATGCGTGGTTGCCAAGTTGTATCGGGTTTAGTATAGCTGAAATCAGTTATGGAAAAACTGTTGCCATGGCAACGATCGTCATGGTAAGGAGTTGAAAAGGAATATTCTCAGATAAATTATGAACATACAGAAATGGATATATATTTATATAAAGCAATACATTGAGAATTCGCATTCTCTATGTGATGAGAATATTTACTCTTTTTCAGTTAATTCAATAGAAAACAACTACTTTCCTGGCTATATGCCACGACGAACATTGAATTATATCTATTGAACACAAAAATGGTATGGAGTAATCAAAAACCCGATTCCCGTGGTGAGGAAATGCGTGGTTGCCAAGTTGTATCGGGTTTAGTTTGGCTGAAATCAGTTATGGAAAAACTATTGCCATGGCAACGATCTGGTTTTTGGTTACTCCTTACCATGACGATCGTTGCCATGGCAACAGTTTTTCCATAACCGATTTCAGCTATACTAAACCCGATACAATTTGGCAACCACGCATTTCCTCACCACGGGAATCTGGTTTTTGTTTACTGGTTATCAATTATCATGAAGATCGTTGCCATGGCAACAGTTTTTCCACAACTGATTTCAGCTATACTGAACCCGATACAACTTGGCAACCACGCATTTCCTCACCACGGGAATCTGGTTTTTGTTTACTGGTTATCAATTATCATGAAGATCGTTGCCATGGCAACAGTTTTTCCACAACTGATTTCAGCTATACTGAACCCCATACAACTTGGCAACCACGCATTTCCTCACCACGGGAATCGGGTTTTTGTTTACTCATTACTATGAGGATCCTTGCATAGCAACAGTTTTTTCATAACTGATTTCAGCTAAACGAAACTTGAGCCAAGAATCCTTCTTAGTGTTCTTTACTTACTGATTAATTTCTTTGCAATGCCATTCTCAACCATCTGTATGCAATGCTTGTCTTTTCTTGCAAAATTACCTATAGCTAGAACACCTGTACTGAGCAAATCTGGCTCAGACATGTCCAGCCATGTAATCATATTCTTGTACAACTTCCCTTGACCATCATTATACAACAGATACATACAGTCATCTGAAAGTTAACCAAAGTAGTTTTGAATAAACCAGTTGATTTAATTAAGTAGGTACCTCCAGTAAGTATTACCACAATCAGGTCACATGCCATTTTCAAAATAGATCTAGAGTCTTCATCATCAACTTTGTGTCTGTATTTCTCAATCAGTTCAAACAACAGTTCACATACACCTTCCCTAGCAAGAAGCATTTTGATTTCATCTGAAATTTAACATGAGATGAACAGTTCAACACTAGGGAAATTTTACCTTTTTCACATTGCCCATGGAAAATTTCAACAGCAATGACAGATATTTCTGGAATAGTACTGGCCTTAAATATGTTGATAACATCTTGACACAAGCCTTCTGTGAATGGTATATTCATTTCATCCAGGTAATTTTCTACACTGTTCAATACTGTGAGTAATATGGTAAGTAATGAGGGATGTTTGTTGAGCAAATTGGCATATTTGTGCAGTAATTGTTCTAGAGTTGAAATTAGGTCGTTTTTCAAAGCAGATTTCATCAATCCTTCATGTAAAGTGAACAGATTCACTAGCAAACCAAGTGCTTTGGTTAATAGGGGTGAATCTTCTGGGTTCTTTTTCAAAATTTCCAGGAATATATGGATACCCTGTTTGTTTATTATATTACAAGCTTCCTCATTTTCAAAGCATATATTTCCCAGAGCTCTTACTATATTGAATATCACTTCATTGTCTTTAGTATCCAGCAAGAGCATCAGTTTATTGATTATGTCTTCATTGGTGAGTTGTTTCCTGTTTTGTTCAAATTTTGCTAATTCGGCGATTAATTCAGCTGTTAGCAGTAATATTTCGTTCTTGTCGATTTTCAATAAAGCATACAATACATCTGCATTAGATATTTTGATGTTAACTTCCTGAGCTAATAGTGTTTTCAAATTATTAATGATTTCTTGTTCATTCAGATCTTCTGTTGCTTTAGTCAAGTTCTTTAATAAATACGACATTATTATAGTTTGGTGAACCTGAAAAGTGAAAAGTTCGAAATTTCACAAAAATTAACCTACCTAACCTAAAATTGAAATGTCAAAAACTGAAAGCGCCCTCTGTGGGACGATGCATGAACGTACATGTTTTGGTGAATTGTTAGTTGCATACTCCACAGTATGTTTCAACTGTAACTGTGGTGAAAGTGCATACCCTTTCGCATTTCTGCGATCCTGATATCGATACGAAATTCATGGCGGTTTGGTGGAATGCGACGAAGATACGTCCATAGATATGATTCAAACTGGTAATGATGGGATCGGATCAGATGTAGGATGTAGGATGAGTTATTGGTACTTTGTGGTTGTTGAACATGAAAGGGGAAGTTTGTATATCTAATTTATGAATAAATTGATTTTTGTTTACATAACTTTTACAAATATATGAGAATCTGCTTATATTTCTCATATTTCCTATCTAATGGTAGCAAATTATGAATTTTTGGTGCTAAATAATTGAAAAATCTTTGGTTGATATTTCTCCAACTAGCAGAGATATATATTGGTCATACCCAAGGAACTTCTAATGTTACATAAATCAACACCATAGTGATCTCGTAGGGATAATGTCTGGATTCTTCAATATAATTTACCTACACACAAAGAGTTTTTAGTGAATTGTTGTGTCCACCCCACACCCCCACACTAGGATACCATATCTTGAAAGTGATTCAACTAGTGCCTTATAGTGATCAAAAGTTTTTTATCCAAGACTCAATTGAATTTAAACAGTTTCTCATTTATGCTTTTCGAGCGCCATGCCACATTTCATATTGCTATCAGGGTAGCAGGAAATCAGAAATGCGAAAAGGTACATGCACCTCTTATATAATGATAAACAGATATATGTGATAAACCATGGACGTATAAAATATACGTCCATGTGATAAACCATTGTCGATCTAAATGAAAACCTAGTAGGCGACTTAGTCACAGTCCAGCATCCATCTACTCCTGTATGATCTAAGGTAGGCACATACAAATTATCATCAATTCTACCAACCTTGTTCATTAAAACGCCTTGCGCCCTCTGTGAGAGAAATCATGAACGATAATTTTTGGTGAATTGTTAGTTGCATACTCCACAGTATGTATCTACTTCATCAGGAGTTGCATGCCCTTCAGCATTTCTGCTATCCTGATATCAATATAAAATTCATGGCGTTTAAGGCAATGCGACGAAGTAGAGGCAGTTTTCGATGATAGTCAGAGACACAAACAAACAAGGAAGTTCCACAATTGAAAACTACAACAAAAACAGAAGTGATTGATGCCTAATTACTTGAACTTTTAAGAAAGAACCTATACCGATTTTGTTTTTAGTCAAATCGTCAAATTTATTAGGGACATTAGGGTAAAACTTTGATTCCAATGTCCAGTAAATGAAATACCCGTAAATCAAGCGCTCAAAGTTTTACCTGCGGTGAAGTCAACAGCGAATGGGCCCAAAAGTTTCAAAAGAATGAACTGGAAACTTGAAGACAAAATTTATAAGGTAGGTTAATACCAAGGGCAGAGATAAGTTACCCAATAGGTATTATGTGGGTTCTATAAGTACTACCAAAGGTACTCCGTACTCTACTATACTTGTTAGGGTAGGTGGATGGGGCCAGTTTTGGTCGATCAAATTGTCAAATATCTAGACAATATTCCCATTCTGCAATGTGCTGAACACGGTGAAAAACTGAACCCCATTCTCCAACATTATGGTCAGCCCATTGTCAGCCATCGATATCGATATATACCATAATGGTAAATAAAATGTCTACCTCCTTCCACAATATTGATTGACTTTCTAGAATCGCAAAAAATAAATGAGTTCTGAGACTTCTGAGTAAAATCATATCTCAATCATTCATTATAACTTATTAATAACCAAACCAAAAATCTAAATATCTGATCTTCTTTCTCCCTCTTTCTCATCACTCCGTCCCTCAGTCTTCTTCGTTGGCTTCGTCATTGCATAAACGCCATGAATTTCGTATTGGTATCAGGATAGCAGAAATACGAAAGGGTATGCACATCCCACCACACCCTAATAAAGATGTTCATATTAGGTTGAATTGTTAGTTGCATACTCCACAGTATGTATCTTCCATAATACCAGCGTACATACAGTGTGAAAGTTTTATGCCAAATTATCAGAAATAGACTGAGTTTGGTTCAGAATTTGTTATTCTAATCTATCTATCTATCTATCTAATACCAATGATCAAATACCCTACAATACAGATCGTGGACGTAGAAATAAATTCTGGATTGAATGAAGCCAATCACGATACTGAGAATATTCCTTTTCAAGAAAGAATTCAGTCAACATCTTCACGTCTCAACACGCAGGGGCTTCTTTTGGATTGTTCTGATTGGTATATAGGAATCGCCTATCCATATGTCTGGGCAAAAAGGATCGTGCATGGTTGCGGTTTGCGATTTGAACCAAGGCAATCTGGCAACAGTATCAACAGACATGTCACTTTCACTTTAGTCACGTGATGGTGACGTTGCTGACATTTGGTTGTGTTGTCAACGAATTTTTGTTCCCTTTTCTCAAATACTTCAGACACGATTCACGATGACGACCCAGCAGCCCCCTGCACCTGTACCGAAACGAGGAATAGTCAAACAGGTAAAATATTTAGAAATTTCCTTCTCCATGTAGTGAATCGGCGAGTGAAGTTGGTTCAGAAAATGTTCTTTGTTGTGTCTCAAAAATCGACGAAAATTAGGTTGGAAAGGTGCTCTGTTGGCAGATGATACATCTGCATATGGACTGCCTAATCTTTTAATTAGTCTGATTTTTCACTCGTCTGTTTTCAGATTTAATCCAGATGCCTTGATTCAGAATCATAGGGAAGATTTGAATCAATATTTGGAGGTTATGGTCCCCTTCTATGAGTTGGCATTATTCATTATTTTTGTTCTAGATCCTCTCTGGAGATTCAGTGATTATACGAGCACCATCTGGGGCCCCGCCACCTGAGAAGCAGATCAATTTTTCGGGGATAACTGCCCCCAAGTTAGCTCGCAGAGGAGGTGACCTGTGAGTACAACTTCTCTTCTACAACTTCTTTACATGACATTGTCATTTGTGTTCCTCAGAGCTGATACAACTAGAGATGAACCATGGGCATGGGAAGCCAGAGAATATCTCCGTAAAAAACTCATTGGAGAAGAAGTGTTCTTCACTGCTGAGAAACCCCCAAGTGCTATGCGCAAATATGGAGTTGTTTACTTGGGAAAAGGTAAGATATTATTAATTTTTATAACCAATATTCGCAGGATTGCATTTTAGATTTGAGCACTGCTGAAAATATCAGTGAGTCTTTGGTATCTGAAGGACTTGTGACTGTTAGAAGAGATGGTGTTAGGTCAACTCCAGAACTCGCCCGCCTTATTGAACTTGAAGATACTGCTAAAGCAGCTGGAAAAGGAAAATGGTCTACAACTGGTGCATTGGTTAGTATTCATCAGTTTCATTTCAAAATATATCATATAAATAATGGAGTTTATGTCATAAATTAATGATGGGGAAACAAAGGAAATAATTTATTATGATGTTGCATTTCTAATTTAGGATTTGCTCAAAACTTATGTTTTTAGGAGCATGTCAGAGACATCAAATGGTCTGTGGAGAACATGAGTGATTTTGTAGATCAGCACCAGCTCCAGCCAATCAAAGCTGTCATTGAGCATGTCAGAGATGGATCTACAGTGAGAGCATTTTTATTGCCTGATTTTTATCATATCACTTTGATGATAGCTGGGATCAGGGTAAGTGAAGCTATTAGCACCAATTTTTTTTCTCAAATTTCTGACAATTTTTGTGTTTTTTGGCAGTGTCCTGGTTTCAAGCTGGACTCTAACGGTAAGCCGGATCCCACGGTGAAAGTTGAATTCGCCGAAGAGGCCCGCTACTTTGTAGAGGTCCGCTTGCTCCAACGTGAAGTGGAGATTGTCCTTGAATCTGTCAACAACAGCAACTTCATCGGCACCATCGTTCATCCCAAGGGCAACATTGCTGAACTCTTACTGAAAGGTAATGTTATGAAAAAAGCTAATTTGCCCTTTTTAATCAAGGTCTATTTATGAAAACTTATAGAGGGATTCGCCAAGTGCGTTGATTGGTCGATTCGGCTTATGAAAACCAAGACAGAAAAATTACGGGCAGCCGAAAAGCAGGCTAAAGAGGCTCGTCGCAGATTGTGGAAAGACTACGTGGCCAGCGTGCCGAGGATTACTGGAAAAGAGCTGGACTTCCAAGCCACCGTCATCGAGGTAAACAAAAATACAACATAATTCAAATTGGTCACCTTACCCCACGTTGGGCGCCAGTTTACTCAATATTCCCTACCTTTGGCGTCATTTGTTCACTAGACCCCCCAAGCTGGGCGCAATTCTAGTCAATTCGTGCTGAAAAGTATTGTAATCTAGGTGAACAACGGAGATGCTTGGGCGCCAATTTATTCATTGAATTAATCATTTCTAATGTGGATCGCGGATTCATCGATGAGACCTCATGTTGGGCGCCAATTTATTCATCATACCACACATTGGGTGCCAGTTTGTTCAATATGCAAAATTCTTCATATCTTTGTGAACGTTGAATTTCACATTTTATGTATAGGACCCTCCTCTCGTTGGGCGCCAAATTGTTCAGCTCACTCCACGTTGGGCGCCAAATTGTTCAATCACCCCACGTTGGGCGCCAAATTGTTCTGCTCACCCCACGTTGGGCGCCAGTTTACTTAATATTCCCTACGTCTGGAGTCGTTTGTTGACTAGACCCAATTTTGGTCGTCATTCTAGGCGCATATTGCTGAAAACATGTTGAAATCTAGGTGAACAACTGCGATGCTTGGCCGCCGATTTGTTCAATGAATTAACTTTTTCTGATTTTTAATGTTGATCGCGAATTCATCGATGAGACTTTATGTTGGGCACCAATTTATTCATCATACCACACATTGGGTGTCGGTTTCAATATGGAAAATTCTTGTCATCTTTGGTAACGCTGGCGTCATAGCAAAGTGAACGTTGAATTTCACAATTCATGTATAGGACTCTCCCCTCGTTGGGCGCCAAATTGTTCACCTCCACTGGCACTCAACGCCAGTTTACTCATTACTCCCTACATAATTAATCATTTCTAATGTCGATCATGAATTTATCGATAAGACCTCATGTTGGGAGCCAATTTAATCATCATACCCCACATTGGGTGCCGGTTTGATCAATATAAAAAATCCTTGACATCTTTGGTCACGCTGATGAATTATTTTTATAGCCGAGTGAATTTTGAATTGCACAATTTATGTATAGGCCCGATATCTCTCGTTGAGCGCCAAATTGTTCATCTTCCCCACGTTGGACGCCATCTTACTCAATATCATCTACGTCTGGTGTCGGTTGTTGACTACACCCCACGTTGGGCGCCATTTAAATTGAATAGTACTAAAAAATGTTTAATTCTAGGTGAACAACGGCGATGCTCTCTTGCTGAAAACGCCTAGCGGCGACCACAAGAAGGTCTTCCTAGCGAGCATTCGCCCCCCGAGGGAGTCTGGCCGTACCAATGACGACGACGGCAAGCCCATCCCTCGGCCCAAGGGCTTCCGGCCCCTTTACGACATCCCCTACATGTTCGAGGCGAGAGAATACTTGCGCAAGAAGCTGATCGGCAAGAAGGTACACATTGTTATCGATTATGTGCAGGAGGCCAGAGAAGGTTTTCCAGAGAAGACTTGCGCTACCGTCACCATTGCGGGAAAGTGAGTTGATTTTTTTTCACGGTTCACGCCAATTCGTTCACTTAATCCCTTGAAAACTTACTCTTACAAGATGAACCATCCTTATGAAAGCAATGAAGCCAGAAATTCTGCTCATTAGGTGGCGGTATCTGTGAGCGACAAGGTGAACTACTTTTTGTTGAGTGTCGAATGGTAGAAATCGGTAGTGCAGAATATGTAAAGAATGTCGCATCAGGGCCGGATTATAATATTTGTATCATTGGGAATTTAGAGTATCACATTTATCGATTTTTCTGCATCAGAAAGAAGGGAATTCCTGGATAGTACATCAACTAGCAGATTGATGGATTCAAGCAGATTCTGAGAATATGGACGAATCGACCATGGTTTGCTTTCGCTAGCGTCGCCGACGAACCTGCCAAGAAGAAAGATCAAATTTGGCTTTAATATTTCACATGGAGATGGATCATCTTGTTGGTGTATATAATAATTGAACCCAACTACGTCGAATGATAAACTTGTCAGTATAGACTCCTTGTTGGGTGATTATGGTCAACCTTAAAATATGTCCAATAAAACTCGTTCGTCTATTGAACGGCAAATCTTTAGAATTCATTGCCAATGGAAGTATTCCCAAGAAGTTATAACACCCAATTATCTACCTCATCATAGGAATTTCCATTCGTGCGCTCCAAGAGCTAAAAAAACGAATCAAGGTTATTGCATTAAATCTTTTAGTGCCTCATTTGCACAAAGAACGATGTTTTTTTTGTAACAATAGTCGGTATTCACAGGATCTTCCTTATTTTACGTAGAAAAAGATAAAGGAGAAACCAAATTCTCCTCCCTTATTTCGAACGTTGGGCGCCAATTCTTTTGATCGACCTTTTGTTATGCACCTTTTTTTCTAAAGGCTCTCGTTAAGCCCGAATTTCATTTTTCGACTCATCCGCTAACCTCTACTTCAGGCATTGGAGTATTCGGATCAACGATCAACTTTAGTGGATTATTTGGACCCACGTTGGCCACCGATTTGTTAACTAGTTACTCGTTGGTCACCACATGTTGTATGTTAAATGATGCAATATCTTTTTCTTCAGGAATGTTGCTGAAGGTCTAGTTGCTAAAGGTCTTGCAACCGTCGTCAGATACAGAGCCGACGATGACCAACGCAGCTCCAGGTATGATGAACTTCAAGCAGCCGAAACTAAAGCCATCAAGGCGCAACTCGGAGTCCATTCCAAAAAAAATGCACCCGCTTTACGAGTCACCGAAATCGTAAGTTCAACTGAAGAATAACTGGAATTGTGTGATTTTCATGGTTATTGTTTCCTAAGGATTCTGGCAGAGCGAAATTGGAGTTATCTTCCTTCCAAAGGGCGCAACGCATCGACGCAATCGTCGAGTTTGTCGCCAGCGGGTCTAGATTGAGATTATACATTCCCAAATCCAACAGTTTGTGCACTTTCCTCTTAGGTAAGTACATTTCCTGACATTCCTCTCGCCGAATTTATCTTCATATATCGATAAAAAATATATATATATATTGTTACTGACTCCATACGTCACTACTAATTAGAACGCAATTAGAATAATCAGTATTTATAACTCGTTTCATTAATTGAAATTCTCTATAAATTTTTTGACAGGTGGTATCAACTGTCCCAGAGCCACCCGCCAAGCAACTGATACCCCTGGAGAACCCTTTGGAGACGAAGCTCTTCTTTTCACCAAGGAGAGGTGCATGCAGCGAGAAATCTCCTTCCAGGTATGGCATCCCAATATTTTTCCCTAAACAACAATATCGGTGTTGAAAACTGGAATCTGGAACGATAATCACACTTCACTGTTTCACCACTAACCAAACCGATTATTCAACGCCTCGACACATGTTTCGTTAACTATATTACTATTTTCAGAAGAATACTAAGACTACACGGCTACACTCAATTTCTCTAACCTACCATATATCAAATGGGATCCTCAAGATGCTAACACATCAAAACATGTAGTATCAAAGCGTTAAAAATCGTTTAGAATAGTGGTGAAACAGTGTAGTCTGCAAATTAACAATGTTAATAACTCGCCCGAAATCGTGTAGGTGGACACGCACGACAAAGCCGGCAACTTCATCGGTTGGCTATGGGTGGACAACGTCAACATGTCCGTGGCCTTGGTCAAGGAAGGCCTGGCCTCCGTCCACTTCACCGGCGAGAAGTCGCAGTACGCGTCGCAGCTGAAGACTGCCGAAGAGAGCGCCAAGCAGCAGAAACTGCGTCTGTGGAAAGACTACGTCGAAGTGGAGAAGGAAGAGAAGAAGGAAGAGGAACGCGTGGTGAGTTGAATTGTTGAAATTGGGTTTGGTGGGTGTTTGAGATATTCTGTTTTATGCCCCACGTTGGGCGCCGATTTTTTCAGTGAACCCGCGTTGGGCGCCAATTTCATTATTTTTACCCTACGTTGGGCGCCAATTTATTCAATACAAGAAATTCTCGGCTGAAAGATGATTCTTCTAGCCCACCGAGCTCCAAGTGAACTTCGAAGAAGCGGTGGTGACCGAAGGGACCACCGAAGGCACTATCTTCGTGCTGCGAGTCTCCGAAATAGTTTTCAATTCGAATATATCTCAGTTATTACCATCAATGGACCCCGCCTTGGGCGTACCCTTCGTCCTACATCAATTTCTTCAATACAAAAATTCTTGGCTGGAAGGACTCTTTTACCCACCGAACGTCAAGTGAACTTCGAAGAAGTGGTGGTGACCGAAGTGACCCCCAAGGCACTTTCGTCGTACGGCGAGGGTCCAAAATAATTTTTAATTTGAATATATCTGGCTATCAAATCCCGCGTTGAGTGCCAATTAATTTATCGTACCCCACGTTGGGCGCCGGTTTCTTCCATACCCAATTGAAAGTTCGTTTTTTCAGCCCACCGAGCGTCAAGTGAACTTCGAAGAAGTGGTGGTGACCGAAGTGACTCCCGAAGGCACATTCTTCGTGCAGCGAGTGTCCGAAGGGTCGAAAGCCGAGGCGTTGTTCGCCAAGTTGCGTCAAGAGTTCCAAGCCAACCCGCCCCTGCCAGGTGCCTACACCCCTAAGCGAGGAGACTTGTGCGCCGCCCGCTTCACCGTCGACGACGAGTGGTACAGGGTGAAGGTCGAAAAAGTGCAAAGTGCGTTTTTCGTTGAACGGATCTCCTTCAACATGTTATATTTTATTTCGGAATTTTTTTAGGTGGTAAAGCGACCGTCCTGTACATCGACTACGGCAACAAAGAGACCCTGCCCTCCACCCGCCTAGCCAGTCTGCCCGCCGCCTATTCGCACGACAAGCCCTTTGCCGTCGAGTATTCCATGCCCTTCGTGACCCTGCCCAAGGACGACGAATTCTCGTCCGTTGCTCTCAAATACCTCAGAGAAGACACGGCCGCCGCCAAAATGTACCTCAACGTCGAGTACAGGTCAGTTTTTTACATCTTTTCAATTTAATTTGTCAATTTATTGCATTCCGCTTGACATGCTTCAATATTCAACTGTTGAAATATACCCCACGTTGGGCGCCAATTCGTTCAAAGACTCAATTATTTTATTGTTGTTTGTAAAGGACCCCGCACGGAAACATGGGAAAACACAACAACATAGTAAAATTTCAGCCAATTCGACCGAGAGCCAATTTTCCATGTTTTCTTGCGGGGTCCTTCATCGATGAGGGCCCCACTTTGGGCGCCAATTCATTCATAACACTCCTCCAAGTTTATTTACAATTTCCTTGCTAGATCCCACGTTGGTCTACAGTTTGTTCACTTAATCCCACCTTGTGTTCAGCTTGTTCACGTGACCACACCAATTGGTTCACAAGACCCCAAGTTCTGAATCAAGGCCCTAAGTGATATACAATTTGTTCACTAGATCCTACGTTGAATCCGACTTTGACGCCGAATTAGTCACATTTAGTGCCATTGCTTTTCTGCTTATCATTTTATTTTTTTCAAATAGGGTACAAGGGTCGCCTCCTGCTGCTTCGTTGCACACGGACAAAACGTCGGACGCTGACGTCATCAAGAATCTGATCAAGGAAGGGTTGCTGATCGTCGATGTTAAAGGTCGTCGCCAAAATAAACTGGTCAGTAATTGATTTGACCTTAATTCATTGTTATTTCAATTTTTTTAAATGATTGATGTACAGTTCTGCTCATTTAAAACGGAACTCATGTACAATGTTTTCTTTTTGTATTTTCAGCTGGAAAGTTACAGAGAGGCCCAGGACTACGCCAAAAAGCAGCACACCAACATCTGGGAGTATGGGGACATCACGGAAGACGATGCCAAGGAATTCGGGCTTGGAAAATGTGAGTTTTGTTGCATGGAATTTTCTTGCTTCTTTCTCTTCTTGCGACTTGCTGTGGATTTCAGTAACTTTGTATTTCATTGCAGAAATAGGACTTGGGACCAGTTCACCAGAGCATACCAACTAACATTCAGCAGATATACTTCCAAATCACTAAGATAACGACTAAGTAGATTTCCAGTTCATGTCGAAAATAGAAATAATTTAAAAAGTAGCTTAATTTATAAAGAAATATTCAGGTGTACATTTGATGTTTTTTATGTATATCTTGTCTAGTGAATTCATATTTTATCTATTGAATCGAAAAGTTCCCGGAATAATTGTTTGTATATTTCCATAATTTTATGTATATGTCTGTCAATTTTTTTTTTCTCAGAGTAATATTATTTTTTCTATTTTGAAGGTGGTTTCACACCTTTTCACATTAGACTGATTATACACATTTCTGGCCTTGACAGGTTGCTCTATTGTTATAATTTATGTACTACATTTTGAGGAAATATTGAATGTAGGTGACGGCTCTGTTTCTACAATAAATCGATATATTGTTAATTTTGAAATTAATCTCAATAACCATTGTTTAAGGGAAGACCACTGACGCATGATATGAATATGAACTAGGATTTCCTAGACCGACAATTTCTAATTTTTTGCCCCTAAAAGAAAGAAGGTTAACTTCTTGGAACTTTTTTCAAGGTCTCAGAATGAGCTGAAAATTCGTTTACAGGTTGTTCTCGATGTGCTGAACACGAATATGAAGTCCATTTTCTTCTATCTGCTCCAATTTTCAAGTTATTTGGAATATTCTGGCGACTGCCCGGTCGCTAAAATTCCAATACTAAAAACAATGTTTATTTTCGGATTTAGGACAGAATTAGGTAATGATACTCTATATTAATGCTGAAAACATTGAAAACCGTTTATTAATTACATCCACACAACATCCTATGTATATATAGTTACAAATACTCGAAAATTTCTTAAAAGTACCTAAAAATTTACAGTTTTAATCGATATCTACACGCTAGAATCACCTTAGCTCCTTAAAATAAAATGCATTTCTCCCAAAATTAAGCACCTGAATCAAAATCAATTTAAAAATTCTCACATCTCCATAATAAATCTTCATATATTTATCATTATGTACAATTCACAAAAATGTTTCATCACTCTTGTATCTCATTATCTTGTGCTTGTACCGTTGACTTTACCATACAAGATCTTGCTACCGACTCGAACAATCTGAAAAACAGAAAAACACTGAAAAGAGTGAATATTTCACCATCTAGCGCAGAAAATGAAGTTTTATTCCTCAAATACTGTACAGGGTGGCTGGAATTCGAGCCTTATCTCGTAAACCGTGAGAGATACAGGGTCGGTTAAATTATGGCAAAGTTGCGCAATTTGATGCCTAAGAAAATGCTGTTCTGAAACTCGGAAAATTCCGTATACTTCCGGAGATATCCGAAAAAAATCGAAATTTCATGAAACCGTTCCAATTTTTTTCTGGCCTTATTTGAAGAAATTAATCGATATGAATGTCACTTCATCATTCTTGCCTTCAAGATGACGTTTTAAAATTCGAAATCTGACGTTTCGTCTTCCAGAAACCATCATCAACTTACTTTTTTTAAATACGGACCTGGATTTTTTATTTCATTTTACGTTACCTTTAGATAGCCCAAAAACTATGAGCTATCACAAATTTCGATTTCCGAATGTTTCGATGACAAAAATTGACAGTTTCTGTTGAAAAGGCCGCTCCTGGAAAAATGTCATTCATCAGTCCAGATAATGTTATTTGAAAAATCTTCATTCTGTTGCAATGTTCCATCAAACCAATTGCAGAATTCAAGCCTCCTCTCCTGATCTAAGTTCTTGGCTGACATGTAATTTATAAGGATGATACCTATGATTTTTGAGAATCTTCTGAATTTGGCTTCTAGGCATATTTGATTCTAGAGCAAATTGTCGTGTGGAACCTCGAGGATTTTCCGAAACCTTCAAAATTTCTCGATGTAATATTATGGCGAATATTGAATTAAATAAATAATCATTTGTTACAGCATTTATGACCTGACCGAATTCGTATCTCCTACCGTTTCCGAGATCCCCCTGTAGCTCAGTCTCCGTTCAAGTGCGCTAAAGCGCAAAATTCTCAACATCAGTTAGAATGATGACCATTTCCCGCGAAAAAATACGGCCCTTTCCCGCTTCATAACAAAAAAAAACAACCCTCAACACTCTCTTGTAGGAAATATCCCCGGCCTAAAACACCCCCAAATCCACTCACTTTTCGATTTCCGGTGCGCAATGGACGAACTCGTGCTGCCAAAACCGGTACGTCGGATTCTTGATCAGCTCGATGAAGGTGATAAGCAACCCCCAAGGGTGCGGCCTGTTCACGATCAGCCGCTCCAACAGCACCCTGGTGATCTGTTCCTGGATGGCCTCGGTATTGGCCTCGGCGAACAGGTAGAGCAAAGTGCACGAGAAATAGTGCGTGTGGCTGGATCAAATAAACCGATTTTATTCGAGAGAAACCACCAGGGTCGTTACAATCGTCAGGTCCCTGCTCGGGCGCCATATGTAACAACCCTTGATATTCGGACTTTTTTTTGTCAATACACACCTATTTGGGTATCGCAGCTGGTTAGCGATCGCATTTAGAAACAGGTATCTGCCTTCGGTGTCCAAATCGACTGCCAAGTTCTGGAAGATGTCCATGTGGGCGCTGTGCGCTATCGTCGACATATTGGGCTGGTGGCTCTTGTTGCGGATGTAGGCTATCGCTTGGGTGCCCACGTAGAGAACGAGGGCGTTCATCAAGGGAATATTGTAACGCACCCCCGGCTCGTTAGACACCTAAATTTGTGTAATAAACCAGACATGCTTTAATAATGATAGTACGAAAACGTTTTGCTGAAAGTGGAAGATTTTTGAAGGGAAAATATGTTTGCAGATAGCAACATATACAACTGAAAGTTCTACAATACAAAAACAAAATAAAAGTTGAAATGAAAGAACTGCCTAATTTGTGCTTGACTCACTTGGAGTTGAAACATTTTTTTGATGCTACTGTTTATTGAATTGTTGTCGATGCACATAGTCAAGAAATCAAATTCTTGATGAAAAAATGGGTTCTCAATAAATGAAGGGCCGGGCCCCGTGCCCTGAGAGCGCATACTATTATTTTCATTGAAATTTCATATACCAAAATGGTATATGAATGGTTTGCCAAAAGGTTTGTTTTGACAACACCATAAATCAACGGGTTTTTTAAAAAAGGGGTTAGAAAACACTGGAAATAATGTCAATTAATGACGTAGGCAAGACGTTGACATAAGTCAATGTCAAGGGATGAAACATGAAATTCTGACGATGAGCATAGGCAAATAACAATAGCTGATACAACTAAACTAAAGAATGTGGATGTTGGAGGAGGGATGCATGTAGGGGAGAGTTGAGCAAACCTGAAAAACCATTGACTATGAAATATCATGGAATAAGAGTTGAGACCAAGGTAGGTAAACTAACAGTGATTAAAATCCAAAGCATTGAAAAATTTGATACAGTCAAAATGTGTTTGACAAGACAGAATTATTATTTAACGAAGAGTTAATTCCGAAAATTTCCAGTAAATTCAATAACCTACCTTTTGGACAGACATGTAGAATCTTAAGGTCCTGAATTGGATCAAAACTATGGCGTGAATTTAGGATGTGGTTTGTGAAAGAACTTTTGGTATCATATTCTTCAAAGGGGGTGTATTCTTGGATTTTTCAATGATCTTAAGATGTTCCGTAACTCTGGTTGAAATTTTTCTACCACTTTGTCCAACATATTGAGCATTGCAATTTGAATCAGAGGAAGAAATACAATAAAACTCCAGATTTGTGATTCAATGGGACTTAATCTTTAGAATTAACAACATTTTTTGAAATATCATCAACTGTGTGAAAAGAGATATTAATATCCTCACTATATCGATTATATAAAAACAATAAGAATTAGGGAAATCGGTCGAGCCGTTTACGATTCTATAAAGGACATACAAACATATATTCATTTTTATATATTATATAGATACATCATCTAAGGAGAAAACTCGACTACTATAATTCTCTCACCTGCAAATTGCTCCGCAACTCCGACAAGAAAGTCACAGGCGCCCGGGCCTTCAAGTACGAGTCCAGATCCTTCTTGAATTGCGCAGGCGTGATCATCAACGACACGTTGGTGAGTATGCGCGGCCCGTAGGTGATCTCTTGCAACATGTCGACCTTGAGATTGGGCGTGAACGGATCCGGAAGGCGCATGTTCCGTGGAAAGGCCGACAGGATGAGGTTGCGCATCTGGATGCAATTGGGCGGTATGACGTCACAGAAGCCGTAGTGGTAGTCGCAGAGGAACTCGGGAAAGTCGTGCAAGAGAACCAGCAGCACCTAGAACAGACCGGAGTTGATGCATTTACCCACTCGATTGCCTATCAAAGGGCGAGCATCGTTTCATTTGTCAGGTTCCTGCTCGGGCGCCAAATGCTACAACCCTTGTTGTTTATCTGGAATGTTTATTTCACATCGAAATGATAAACTTGTTCATTGATCATGGTTTCCACTGAGTAGAATGTATTGGCTAATCAAACTTACGAGTCCCTTGATGCAAAATGACGTATTTGTTGCCTGACAGATCATAGCTCCTTCCTCTTTTAATCATCTAGTGACTTTGGTTTCGTGTATTGGCGTCCTTGACATGACATTGCTGTCACGTCACACGTCTACATCTCATGGTGTCACTTGGGGTTAAACAAAGAGTTGGTGCATCAAAAAGAAAAAGATGCGGTGTCTATCAATGTCGAAATGACAGAAAAGCCAGCAATAGCTGCCACAAGTGCTCTGGATTCATCGGGAAAACAACATAACGCCAATTGACAGTCATATGCCCGAGACAACTACAGACCGATCGCACTGCCATCTATTATTTCAAAGATCATGGAGAAACCTATCAACATCGAGCTGAAGAAATACCTGGAACATTCAGGTATCATCAACGATAGGCAATATGGCTTCCGTCATCAGAGATCAACTGGTGACCTGCTCACTTACGTCTCACATATATGGCAGCAATCTATTGAAAAATATGGTGAAACCTGACAAATACGTCAATTTACATCAAGCGACCCTAATCAAACTCACCCTCAAAGTGCCCTTGTAGAGCATAGTGACAGGTTTGGCCAATTCGGCGTTCCTCAGGAACGGCGCCAAATACTTGAACAGATCGATCAGCAGCTGCGCGTACAGCGGCCAGCACTTTTGCTGCGGACTGCTGGCCAGCATCCGGCCCATGAACACCCTGTGCGACACCAATTCCAGCCAGGCGTAGCAGAAGCCGGCCGCCTTGGAGGGGCGCAGGATGTGCAAGGTGTGACAGTAGGCGGTGAGCACGTGGAAGTTGATGGCCTCCAAGACAGGTTCGGGAGCGTTCAGTTCCAAGAAGAGCATGGTGAAGATGCGCTGGTAGGGCAGCTGTTGGAAGTCGGTGGTGCGGGTGTCGTGGTCTTGCAGAAGACAACCGGCCACGATTCCTGATCCGATGAAAAATTATGTTCCGACATTAAAATATTCAGGATTATATACATTTGGCGCAGTCGGTAGGATAGATTACATAGCAGTAGGATGGCATATCAATTGACAGTCAGTAATATCAAACATTACACTATGAATGCAACCTTGCAACTCACATAAATCTCATAGACTTTCGTATTTCTGATTATGGATTGCGTCATCCAATATACTGAGTATCTCTTATCATTTATCAACAAATAAGGAACCTATGTTGGAGATGAAGGATAAGATTGGAATATACCGTTTATTTGTGTAATCATTAACTACTTTTCAATAATATTATATGGTATCCATTGGCTCTATAAACACTACTTCAGTGAATATGTTGATGGAACTGTCATATTATCATCATATTTTACCTGTAGAAGCATACACAAGTTCGGCGCAGTCGGTAGGATACAGAGCAATGCCATAAGATAGTAAATCAAGTTTAGATAGCGACATGTAAGCCGTTTGACCGACAATGAATAGTTTCGACACAGAAAAATCCTAAAGTTGAAAAATCTCGATATTGAAAACCCTATATCTATGTAATCATTTCCGCTAGACCCCAAGTGTGATATTGATGAAATCAGCTCTTATGGGAGAATCTAAAAATGCAATAAACTACAGGATATTCTATTTGGAATAACAAAGTTTGTGCTACTCTTCGGAAGAAGCGGCAACGTCGCAGCGCTGAAATTTTTTTAGGACGATGCCTCCCTCCAAAATGTAGTTGGCGTGTTTCAGCGTTTTTTTATAATCCGTTTCTGGCGACCTACGGAGCCTCTGTTTCATTTCTAATGGACCACTCTGTATATTGGCCCTATTAAACTTTCCAATCTGGATTGAAAAGTCTACAAACTCTATGTCAGTAGATATGTTGATAGAACTCATCATATTCTACCGGTATTGAGAAGCATACACACGTTTGGCGCAGTCGGTAGGATTCTTTGCCGTAGTATCAATATTTATTTCATTCTTTGCTATAAACATGACATTGCATCTCATATAAATATAAATATATTCATTAACATTTACAATGAAATAACATGAATAATCAGACAGATTCATATCTGGTATGAGATTATTCATGCGTGATTAAATTAAATTATAGTTATTGAAATATATAACAGATAAAAAAAATGATAATAATAATAATAAAACAAAAAGCCCATGAAAAGTACATTATGACATGATAAAATAAATTAGTGAATGAGAAATCATTCACTCAGGTTTGATTTTCTCTTTGCAAGAGGATATGTTTCTTGACTCCAATTTTGAATTAGGTGATTTTTGTTGAATTTTGAGATAGCTCCGTGAGTGAACTTTCTTTGACCAAGTGTAGAATTAGCAGCATCAAGATGAAACAAGTCATATTGTCTAGTATGATGTTCATGGATTTGAGAATTCCTTACCAATATGAAGTTAGATTTGAGGTGTTTGTTGATAATATCGCAAGATAGTGCTCTTCCAATGAAAATGTATTTGTTTCTTCATAAAGTTGATTTGATGGCGTGTCATATGGAAGACGATACAGTACTTCTAATGCTTTTTTATATAGTACAAATATTTTGTTACAATTATTCTCGGAACATGAACCCCAAATATTTATGAGATAGTTTATTTTACTAAGAATGTGGGAGTATAGAACGGTATTTGGGATGTTTTATCGCCCATTTTCACACTAAAAAACTGCAGAAACACGAGATATACTAACCTAGAACTTTGTTCAACAAATGAATCTTGGTCGTCGTATTGTTCGCATCTCCGGAATGCTTCACCAATAAAGCAACCAGTCTGACAAAGGCGTCCAACGTGTGATAACATTTGGGCCTTAAAAGCGACGCGTTCGGATTGCCCTTCTCCGCCAGTATCCTGTACACCGTCTCGACGCACAGTTGCGTCGACAGCCGGAAGAACCGCGTGATGAGATCGTCGGTCTTGAGGATGCCGTAGACGTTCATCTGGTGGACGAACATGCTGAACGCTTTGGTCGAGTCGCGGCCCTGCTGTTGCGAATGGTAGATGGTGATCCAGTCGCGCAGGAGTTGGTCGGTTTTTTCGACCAGGCCGGGCGGGTCTTCATAGTTCGGGGCTCTGACCTATATGAGATATTTTAGGTATTTACGTGATCGAAACAATCCTAGTGTTAAAATTTACTACTAATTGAAAATAATCAATATCTATTCACTATTCAATGTAATTCGATTGTGAACACAACATTGGCGCAGTCGGTAGGATATCTCAGACAAAGCAAACAAAATTTGTTAGGATTACAAAGGTGAGTTGGAAAAGATATTCCATCTACGACTTATATCGCTAATATCAATGTGAGTGTCATTAATATTGATTTTCACGGCTGATGTCTCAACAAAATGATGCTGTATCAAATACTGTACTAACTAACATACCTAGAAACCTTATGGAAATAGTTTAGTTATCTTTCAGGAAGATATACACATTTGAAAACCGGAACCAATGGGGACCAAATTCCATTATTACGAGAACAAATGCACTCAGGAAGTAGGTCATTGAAAATTAGGAAGGTAAACATTCAGGTATATGAACTATACATTTCTTAATCGAGTATTTAGGAGACAGATAGCATTTTTTACTGAACAATAATATTACGTAAATGAACGCATCTTAGGAAGTGATCTACGAGGCCGAATTGAATTGATTATTAGCAAGACGACTTATGATGAAATTCCATCAAAGCATCAATTTGAAACATCTGGCTGACCATAAGCTTCATTCATATAAGAAATCCAGTATTAATTGGCGTAGTCTCACATCTACTAACTATCACAGAAAACGAGCATAATGCGCAAACACTAACCTGCAATGACCTGTTATGAGAATATCGATGATGCACAATACTGACTATCATACTTTGGTACATTATGGAATAAGTAATCTCGGAGAAAAGAAACAAATTTTGAAACCGAGACTAAGATGTGACAACTCTTCCACTAAGCAGAAGGAGGATATTATGCTCAAAATCAATTTTGAACAATGCAGTATGGACATCAAGGCATCATTTGAAGAGATTTGACTGACCGAAACCTTCATCTTACACCAACAGCAATTTATATAAGAAATCTAGTATCAATTGGCGCAGTCGGTAGGATCCGTCACATCCACCATACACCACGTAAAAAACGAGCATAAACTCACCTGCAAAATCCCGTTATGTATGTGCACCGTCGGTCCCATCGGAGCCCTATCGCCGAAAAACGAGCTCGGCTCATTCTGCCTCAAAATGTCGATGATATTCCCAAGACCTTCGGGCGGCTGCCGAGTGTGCGTCTGGATCTTGGCCAGCATCTCGATCGTGTTGCACAGATCGCTCTCGGTGACGAACTGGCCCGATCTGTCGTCGATCAGATAGAGCTGGACCAGCTGCATCGAGAAGCTGACGCCCATGTAGTTGACGCCGTTCTCCATGCACTGGGCCAGCGCCAGGTCGTACTGGGGCACGTTCACCAGGCCGGACTGCCAAAATCATCAAAGATAATACCACGAGTCATCGATTATAATAATAATATATAATGATAATAATAAATGTATTCATCTTTCTTGATCATACATATAGTTGATATAAGACATGTCAGGGGTAAACAAAAAATATATATTAAACTGCTAGTATAATTATTACAAAAACACATTAGCACATAAAATCAGTGTTTAAGGATGATGGGAGATGACTTATTCCATTATAGTGTGTACTGAGCTAATAGAGATATGTTGAGTGTTTGGGGACACAGATAATTTTCTCTTTTCCACGAAAACTTGTTTATTTGGCAGAAATATGACTAGTATTCTATCAAAACCGCAGTCTATAGGAACCGTATACGATAGAACAGTATTTCTGGGCGACAAAACAAATAGAAAATGTCATTACAATGTTATTGAGAAGAACGCCTAAGGAATGTCCTAGCACATATCGGCCTCGACGACTCATGGGCATTTGTAATCATCGTGAGATCGAAGATTGAAGCAGGTTTAGTCATTAGCACCATAGCATCAGAACAAGTGAGAAAAAAAAATTGCCTAACGTTGGAGGACAATAATACAATGAATTCGGGAATTCGGTAAAATCCTGACCTTGATAAGCGCGTCGACGGCGTCGAGGTTGTAGCGTTGTTGTTCGTCCCTGCAATCGGTCAGGTACCGGGTGACCAGCTTGTTGGTCCACTGTTGGCCGTAGACGCGAGGGTCCTGCATGGTTTTCAGGATGCGAACGATCGCGTCCTTGAAGCGCAGGACGACAGGATCGGTGTCGCTCAAGGTCGGCACCAGGCAGTCTTGAAGGCTCTCCACGCACTGTCAGAAAGTGGGTATTGAGATCTTTAAAACACGCGCGATAGTCTGCATGGTCGAAATAGAGCGAGTGTTTTGAAGACCAGGTATCCACGAATGCTTTACGCTATTTGTTTATTGGTACTGAACTCGAAAAACTAATCATTAATCAACGAAATAGATGAATTATGAAAAAGTGAGGTTAGAAAAATTCAGATAAATCATTTTTTCATTCATTGAAATATCGAAATTTGGTCAGTTGGGTAATCCAAAAAACATCATCAATGTTCATCAAAGAGAATGTGAAATATCTATCTCTCTGTATATTGATCAAATTGGTAAGGCATGCTTCTCATGCACATTCATGATGATAAATAGCCCTACAAATTCAAGATCAGTAGCTTCCAAGGGTTTTGAAATATTCAGGAAAATCTGTAATTGAAATGACTTCATCGCCCTCTCACGGTCAAAGGTAAGTACACCTTGTACAATGATTTTGACATTTATAATAATTGTATAGATACTTAACACTACTTCCTTATATTTATACTTGTTTCCGATTGACATTGTTCAAATCAAAATGCCTGAATAAAATTCATAAAAGGAATATTTAATGAAATAAATGAAATTGATAGAATAGACTGAATGAATAAGATAAAAAGTAAACTGAATAAAATGTGAAATAACTATATTAAATAAAATGAATGGATTTATAGATGAATACTACGCTGCTTACCTTTTGTACGATGGCCTGAGGAGGTGCCAGATCCCTGTTCCTCAGCATGTGCATCAGACAATCTCTGAGCACCAGCATGTTGGCGTTGATGTGCGCGTACGGCGCCTGCGCAGAGGTCAGCTGCACGAACTGCTCCACCTCGACGACCAGCTTCTCGTAGAGCAGCGTCAGATCGTCGGTGGCGAGGCCGGTCTGGGGGACGGAAAAAGGGGTGGCCGAGTGCGACTGGGGTTCGATCGGGGTCATGTTCTATGGATGAAAAGTTTTTTGTTCGTGTATGCTCTTCAAAATCTGAAGATTCGCATTTTATAATATTCCATAATTCAACCGGTTATGATCGTCAGTTGATTTGTCCATAATCTATCAAGCTATCATAGTCACTTCATCATGAAGTATGAACGCACTACTAATATTCAAAGTAAAATACAATTCAATTCTCCATCTACCCAGGAATATAATTCATCCACACAGTGTTATTAATTTTTTTTCCATAATCTTTCAAGCTATGATAATCACTTTATCATGTAGTATGAAACAAACTCGACCGCATTACCAATAATTAGAGTGAAACATAATTCAATTATTCATCTATCCAGAAATACAATTGATCCACACAGAGTTTCTATATTTGTACATAATCTATCCAGCTATGATTGTCGTCACTTTAGTATATTATATCACGAAGCAAAATATGTTTCAATCTATGGAATTCGAAAACCGTAGCTATCGACAATAATTTTCCAAAATATTACGGAATATGATCGCCACTTTATCAAATATGAAAAAAACTTCAGGCTACTTCGGTTAATCGAAGAAAAATATATCATTTATAAAATTCATGTTCTGCGGACAAAAACAGTTGATTGTTCATATATTATACCCTTCAAAATCCAAAGATTCACATTCCATATTATTTCATAATTTATCCGGCAATGATCGCCACTTAATGTTTCCATAATCTATCTATCAGGCTATGATAGTCACTTTATATTAAAGTATAAAATAAAGTAAAATAAAATTCATACTATACACCAACACATAGTGTTCCTGAATGTTTCATTGAACATACTCTTAAAAATCGGTAGCTATCGAGAATACTTATCAATGATTCACATAGCATTCTTGGAAATTTCCACAATAAATCGGGATAAGATCGCCACTTCATCATCAAGTATGAATTAAATTTGACTCTACTCTGTTTAATCTCATTTATAAATTACATCATCGATACCAATGCACATTAAACTATTCACCTGTTTCTGCATAAGGATTGTCGCATCCCTTTCGTTGGGTAAAAAACCGGGAATATTTCGGGCGAATTCTTCAAAAACGGCCATCTGACTATTAGAGATGCCTCCCACTTTGAGTCTGATCTGCTCGGGCATCCGTTCTGCTTGATATGTTAAGGCTATAGCATCACAATAACGTCTGCGAAAAAAAAACATACACTCCATCTCAGACAATAAGGTATATTTTGAAAAATAACAACGAATAAAAACTTTCCTTACCTCCCTTCCTGCCTAGCCATCTTCCTCAACTCATACTCGCTCATCAACCTTTTATCGATTTCCGGTATAGCTTTTTCCACTGCAGTTTTCTGCACAAAAGCGCAAGCCAGCTCCATATTGTCGTTTGCAATAACGCTGGCGGCCTATATATAAAAAAACAGACACTGTATCTACCATAATTTCTAAAAATCCCGGGTGAATTACCTGTTCGATCATATCTTTCTGTTGATTGGTGGGCGACACCAAATTGGTCAACAGGGCCTGTTTCAGGTGTGTATTGATGGCCGTCAACAGCTGCTCCCTGCACGTGATCATAGCCATGCCGGCTGTGAGATTGCGCACCATGTAATGCGCAGCCAGTCGCATCCGGTTCTCGTCCGGGTCCAATGCGAAATCTTTGCGGATGATCTGCTCGCACGTCTGAAGAGCGATCTTGATGGACCTGAATAGAATAGTTATTTGAACTATTCTAGTGTATTATCTGATGATGATTTTCCGTTAAAATGACGTACCTATCGACAACTGGAGCGATCCATTCTTGAACAGCGCGTTCGATAGAGCTCCTCACCAACGCTTTCAATTGTGGCTGCGATTGAAACAACAAAATCGAAGGGGAGACCACTGTGTGCGATTGGAAGGCTTGCATGCCGGCGATCTGTATGTCCGAGTAGCTGAACCTAAAAAAAAAACGAAGGTGAGTACAAACGATAAGTTTATACATATGGAGGAATTCACCGACCTAGGTTCAGGAGGAGCGCTCAGAGCAGAAGTAGGCGTAGTGCTGTTGTTCTGCACTATGGGCGAGCTGGTCTGCTGACTAGGCATGATATTCGCCAGTTCCTGATCTGTCAAATTGCCGCCCGGATTGCCCACCGTCTGCATCGTGGGCAGCTCCTTTTTCACCGGCTGAGACAGCTGATACTCGATTTTCCTGATCCGTTCGGGGTCTTTGAGGTAGACGGACGGCTTCAGCTGAGCGACATCGATGTCGAGGTGCTTGCACAGCACTTCGATCTCAAATTTCAAAGTGAGTTTGAGGTCGGTTTCCGAATGCAACTCGGCAAGGACGTTCATTATGGCTATCGTCCAAGGGTTGGGCGGCTTGAAGACCTGCTTGTATAGAGAAACCTTCATTGCAATTCGTAAATTACGGCAAAAGTTTAGTATAATTATTCGCGATTTAGAGATGAAATATGTAGATTTGAAAAGTCCAGAATCAAGAAATTACCTTGCTTTTGGCGCACGATTCCAACACCTTGGCAACGAAAGGTACGACGTAGAGCAACTCCTGCTGACCCTTGTGGTAGGCCTCCACCAGCAGAGATTTGAGATCGAGATCGATTTGCAGTATCGGTTTGCTGCGCGATAACGTCAGCATCCCCAGCCAATGGCCGAGGTTCTTCAGCAGCGATCTGTCAGAAAAATTGGCGATCGCTTTGTCTGATCTCAGCAGCACCCTTATATTCCTGGATATCCATAAAAAAATCGTAAAACTTTATGTCGGTACTGGTATGTAGAGTGCCTAAATGGACTTGACACTGCTGTTTGGACGTTGTTTGCATATTAGAGTACGTGCAGATATCATTGAACTCTATAGTGGATCTTCACCGGCCACATGGAGAAACAAAACGTAGTCGATTTGATTTTGGTATTCAAAAAGGAAACTTCACAATGGCCAATCGAAATTTTGAAAAAGTCAACTTCAGCACCCTGTATAATCCAAACTATTGAAATTAGAGGGTTGATAATTGGGACATCTGATCAGCATCACGAGTTCTACGATATATCCAAAATTCGAGAAAGTTCACCGAAAGCCAATTCCCCCCCTATTGCGGTGCGGGGTCCTGAACCCATATTCTGTTTCCATTTTTGTAGAATTACGTTATACGATGGAAATTCAAATAGAGTGAAACACAAACTTGCATCTTCCTCCTAATTCTCTCAACTTGTCAAACTTTTGAAATTTATGTCATGTACGTCCGTGTACTGTGAGTTCCCGCTTTTTCCATCAATTAATTTGTGGTTATGTCTGATTGTCAGTGCTTGTCATAGTGTCCCTACTCTGATATTCAAAAAACGCCAAAATCAGCAATGTCGAGTACATTTAGGAACTCTACTGGTATGAATATTTCAGATAGTTCGAGATTGAAAACAAACAGTATACCTGAACGTTTCTCTAGTAACATATTTCAGCAGATCGTTGCTTCCGAGAGTGTCGAGGAAATTCGAGTACAAAGCGTGGAAATTGAATTCGATGGAAGCACGCTTCATGACGAGGTACTGAGCCAGCCAGGGATTGTAGTCTTCAGAAACTAGTTCTTTCAGTTCGTCGCATTTCTGCTTCAGATTCAGCTGGCTCAAGTTGTTGAATATGAACGCCATCTTGTCTTGGAGCTGTTCGGGAGGAGCTATCACCTTGTCATCCTGGAGTAATCATTCAAATTCAAGATATCACGTATATAAAGCCACAAAATATTCTTTATTCGTCTTATTATTTATTCTAAACTGTAGATGTTGATGAAAACATTGAAAACACCCTCTTACTCTCTACATGGTCCATGTTTACAGTGACATCGTTATTTACAGAATAATAATCACAAAAAATAATACCTAGGAATTTGAAAAAAATTGAAGAATGGATGATAGCTTCATAGCAATAGTTAATACCATCCAATGCGGAGCATAGTGAATAAATTGGCGCCCAACGTGGGATATACAGAGTGCCCATTGGAAACGACAGAAGCTCTGTAGGTCGCCAAAACCGAATATAAAAAATCACTGGAACATGTCAGCTACATTTTCAAAAGTATAACCTTCTAAAATAGTTTCAGCGCTGCGGCGTTGCCGCTTCTAACGAAAAGAAACAACAACTTTGTTATTTCAAATTGAACAGCCTGTATCTCATTGGATTTATAGATTCTCTCTGAAAAGCTGATTTCATCAATGTATCACACTTGGGAGTCTAGCGGAAATGATTACGGAGATATAGGGTGTTCCAAAATCGAGATTTTTCTACTTTAGGATACTTTTGTATCGAAAATATTCATCATTGGTCAAAACGGCTCAAATGTCCCTATCTTAACTTTTAATCTACTATCAACCGACTTTTTATTGGAACAAATACAGGGTGTTTTAAGATTCAGAATTCACAATTCACCCTGTATCTATTCCAATTGAATGTCAGTAGATGTTAAATCGAAAGTTAAGATAGGAACATGTGAGCTGTTTCGATCGATAATGAATGGTTTCGGCACAAAAAAATTATAGTTGAGTCTCGATTTTGAACACCCTATATCTATGTTATCATTCCCGCTAGACCTCAAGTGTAATATACTGATGAAATCAACTCTTCAAGGAGAATCCAGAAGTGCAGTGAAATACAGAGTACTCCATTTTGAAAAAACAAAGTTGTTGCTACTTCTCGATAGAAGCGGCAACGCCGCAGCGCTAAAATTATTTTAGGACGATGTCCTCCTCGTGAATGTAGTTTTGTAGTTCCAGAGTTTTTTCATAATTCGAATCTGAAGATCTACAGAACCCCAGTTTCGTTTTCAATGGGCCACCCAGTATTATAGCCATTGCAGTCACTTGGCACAGGACAAATTTTCAACGGGCCACACGTAGGCAAATTCTTTGAGAATCTACCGCCACCAGTAGCGGAGAATAATATTATTTTTGTAACGACGAATAAAATGTGTTTAATAAAGATTCTCTGTATACGAAAACGGGTGAGATTACCTACATCTTCATTTGGAACATGAGAGGTGAGAGGAACGAAATATTAACCTACCGGACCTTCATTTATTTCTATTAGAATATAAAGAGCAAATTCATGGATCATCGTATCATCTTTAAAAACGGAAGTGAACAAAATGGCGCCCAACGTAAGGGTATATTACAATCAACAAACCATGAAAATGGGTCTTCTAATGGTTCTTGAAACCACAGATACAGATAATCCCCATATTCTAAAAGAACCAATTTCACGACATTTGTACCCGTTATTTTGAAAAATAAAGTCTCTACCAACCTTCTCAGTGGCGACCAGCAACGTATCGATATTTGTCGCGTTGGCTATGGACGGACGGCTGCCCATCGTGTTAGCGGCAGCGGGGGCGGCCACTTTGGTGGGCGGCACCGACGTAGCTGCCACCGTCGCGGCGCTAGCCTTGTAAGCGTTAGACGCGACGACGGGCGTCGCCAGCATGGCGGCCAAACTGGCCGGTAGAACTGGCCCGTCGGGCTTGTGGGGCGGTTCCAAACTTTGCAAACCGTATTCGACGTATTCCTGGACGATCGAAATTAGCGTGGCGTTAGAAAAGACAAATAGGCGCCCAACGTGTGGTGTACCAGACAAATTGGCGCCCAACGTGTGGTATACCAGACAAATTGGCGCCCAACTTGTGAGGTAGCAGACAAATTGGTACCCAACTTGTGGTGTAGCAGACAAATTGGCGCCCAACAGAACTGGGCAATATTTGTATTCACAAATACTTTTTGGTATTTGAATACTTTTCGGTATTTAGATACCGAGTATTTAAATACTTTCTGGTTCAGGTAATTATATTTATACTTACAAATATTTGTTGGAGTATTTGCAAAGAGTTTCGCAAAGAATTTAAATATATCTGAAATATTTAAATACTTTCGGAGTATTTAAATACCTAAAATGTATTTAAATATTTCAGAAGTATGTGAAGACTCGTAAAATATTCAAATATTGTGGAAGTATTGAAATACTTAGAAGTGTTTAAATACTCCGAGAATAATTAAATATTTCGATTCCGACTTACGACCATCACGGCTATGATATAATCTTCTTGAATGGATATGGCTTTTCAGAATTCGAGTAAAAATAGATGATAATTATGTTTAACAATATACATATAGGTAAGTGAGTAAGTCACTTATCAGACATCATCCTTTTCTATTGATTTCGGGTTTTGCCAAATTGACTCCTTCCCAGTGCAGTACAAAGAATTATACAATTTTTATAATTTTGCTCTCAATTACTCAAATCTACATTACACAAGGTGATTAAAAGCGTCAGACAAATTGGCGCCCAACTTGGGGTATATCAATAAACTCGAAATAATATTCGACAAACAACAATAATTCATTACAGAACAAAATAATGATGAACGAAAGATCCTTCTCTCGAAATTTCTTGCATACCTGTAGATGTTGGGGAAAATCGCTGAAATGAGAGATGGCCCTGACGTGCTCGCAGTACTTGTGGTACTCCTTGAGACGACTCTTGAATCTGTCCAGGGCAGCAATGCCGAAATAGTACATTTTCGAGCCTTCCGGCTTCTTCAACGCCTCCAAGACGAACCTCAAAGCCAGCCCTAACGCCACGTATGACGTCACGATACCCCTTTCGATGATGCCGCCGAACAATTGGGCAGTCACGTGCAACTCCTTGTCGGGGTATTGAGGAAAGAATTTGTATTCCTCGAAGAGACTCCTCAACATACAGTTAAAAACCTGGAACATACAAAGTGGTCCATTGAAAACGAAACATAGGCTCTGTAGGTCGCCAGAACCTGATTATGAAAAAAGAGTGGGACATGTCAACTACATTTTCGAGGGGGGACATCGTTCTGAAAATATTTTCAGCGCTGCGGTGTTGCCGCTTCTATCGAAAAGTAGCAACAAATTTGTTATTTCAAATGGAACACCCTGTATTTCATTGCATTTTCAGATTTTCCCTGAAGAGGAGACTTCATCAATGTATCACACTTGGGGTCTAGCTGTAATAATTACAAAGCTATAAGATATTCGAAATCGCCATTTTTCTAGTACAGGATATTTTTGTGTACAAGCTATACATCAGCTTTTGATTTACCATCTACTGACATTTAATACACACAAATACAGGCTGGTTCAAGATTCAGAATTCTGATAACCCCTGTATCTGTTCCAATCCAATTAAATGTTGGTAGATAGTAAATCAAAAGTTGGGTTAGGGACATGAAAACCGTTTTGTCCAATAATGAAGTTTCAACAAAAAAAATCCCAAAAGTGAAAAATCTCGATTTTGAACACTCTGTAACCATTACCGCTAGACCCATTGATGAGATCAGCTTTTCCGGGAGAATCTATACATACAAAGAAATACATGGTGTTCTACTTGGAAAAACAAAGTTGTTGCTACTTATCGTTAGAAGCGGCAACGCCGCAGCGCTGATAATATTTTAGAATGATGTCCCTCCTCGAAAATGTAGCTGACCTGTTCCAGTGCTTCTTCATAATCCGGTTTTGGCGATCTACAGAGCCTCTGTTTCGTTCTCAATGAATCACTAGAGTCGGAAATTAGAAATTCATTTTAGAATGCCTACCTCTTTTTCTCTTTTGTTGTGGGAATCCTGAAAGCGTTTGAGCATTGCCAACACCTCGTCGATGGACAATGTCGGATTCGGCGGATGGTTGTAGATTCTCTGGAAGTAATTGTTCGCCTCGTCTTCGATTTCTTTAGACACATGGGGCGAGATGTCGGGAAACAAGTTGTATTCGGGCAGCCTGCTTTTGTCGATGGACGGGTTGGGCCCCATTCTGCCAAGATTGCTCATCTATGATGATATATCACAAGTCAACTTCAATTCGTTTTGTGAATGAAACTGTTGGGATAGTTTTCAACTAGTTTCAGGTAATTGGCGCCCAACGTGGGGTATTTCAACTCATTTTAGGTGGTTAGTGCCCTTAGTGGAGCATATCTGAAATCTTTTATGAAAATGGGCCACGGTGAATATGTTAGTACTCATTGAAATGTATTGAGTATTGAATGTCCATTGGTGTGTATTGCAAATTTTCATTTCAATTAGTACAAGCAAATTTGCACCCAACGGGAGAACTTTAAACAAGTGTTTGGGTGACCTCTTTTAGGTGATTCGTGCCTAACGTGGAGCATTCATTCAAAATCTTCTATGAGCACAGGCGTGGTGAATATACTAGTAGTCATTGAAATGGCGAGTACATGACACTGCAAATAACACAAAACTGTTGCCAACGGGCATTGAGTATTATTGAATTTTTTCATCGCAGTGGAGAGATAACTTTCTTTATAGAGAAAAAGGCGTCCAATGAGGAGTATTTCGAGTGATTCAAGGTAATTTGCGCCCAACGAGAGGACTTTCAACACATTTTTATATAATTGGCGCCCAACGTGGGGCAACCAATTCGCCAACAAACAACAAAGTTGCCTTACCTGATTGACACCGAGCACCAGGGACGAACTGGCGCCAACGGGCATTGAATATTATTGAATTTTTTCATGGCAGTGAAGAGATAACTTTCTCTATAGAGGAAATGGCGTCCAATAAGGGGTGTTTCAGGTGATTCAAGGTAATTGGCGCCCAACTAGAGGACTTTCAACACATTTTTACATAATTGGCGCCCAACGTGGGGCAAACAATTCGCCAACAGACACCAAATTTGCCTCACCTGATTGCCACCGAGCACCAGCGACGAACTGGCGCCAACGGGAATTGGATATTATCAAATTTTTTCATCGCAGTGGAGAGATAACTTTCTTCATAGAGGAAATGGCGTCCAATGAGGAGTATTTCAGGTGATTCAAGGTAATTGGCGCCCAACGGAAGGACTTTTTAACACATTTTTATATAATTGGCGCCCAACGTGGGGCAAACAATTCGCCAACAGACACAAAATTTTACTGACCTGATTGACTCCGAGCACCAGCGACGAACTGGTGCCCACAGGGCCTTGATGGGCCATCGGCATGACGGGAAACGGGCTGTTGGACGGCCCCCCACCGCCCCCGGCATTAATGATGCGAGACGGCGAGCCGGGAGAAGGAACGAGTGGGCCTAGGCCGCCTGGGATGTTGAACGCCGAGCTGGTCGGACCTGCGAACGCCTCTGCAATGCAGCGAGATCAGTAAAAGTGTAAGAAGAATGTGAAAACGATTTGAAAAATGAAAATTACCTGCCAAGCTCATATTTGCTAAATTGTTGCTCAGCCCCGGTATTGAATCGACCGCTGACGGATTATAGAGCTGTCCTGCGAACACGGTAGGATTCAAGCCGGCGTCCAAGCCTCTGGATCTTAGTATTGTCGGCTGCTGTTGCTGCTATAATATGATTTTGACAATTATTTCGTAAGTCACAATCGCTCGTTTATTACTCAACAAGTCGTTTTTCTAAACACAAGAGTGAGTGAGTACACTCATAATGCATAAGTATACAGTGCTTTTCTGTAATGTCGCCCCCTTTTATTATTGGAATGGCTCAACTGAAAAGAGTTAAGCATGGGATGATGAAATTGATGCATAAATACTTTATTTTGAATTTAGATTGATAGATTAAAATTGTTCGGCGTAAAATATCGGATAGGCTGTTCTCATTTCATGAAATTCAATGCAACCATTTCGAGCATCTTCTGAACTGAACTCAGCTTATTTCCTCAAATTATGAAGTAAAAGTCCATGTATTTAGGCAATTATTAATTGCTCCGCCATTTTGTCGAAGGTGAAGGTATCGACTTCATATTCTATGGTAGTGAAGTATTCGTCAGGAGCTCTAAAAGGATGTATCACAGGACCCCGTTTAATTTTTTTTCTGCCCAGGTGGCACCCAGTCGCCATCTTGAGATTTTCATGTCAATTTCACTCCAAAATATAGTGTTCATGCATCAATTTCAATACCCCAAGTTTCAAATTCTTCAGTCGACCCGTTCAAAAAATAAAAGGGGGAGACATTAAAGAAAAGCACTGTATAATTAATTTTAAATTGCAAATCAGAATCTTGAGACTGGTGAATGTTGCGTGATGTATGACAAAATAAAAAATCAAAAGTCAGAAGCCTGGATTCTGCGATCCACAAGTCAGAATTTTAGCTGGAACATCGAAATGTTCTCATTCTCACCTGTTGCTGTTGTTGCTGCTGTTGCTGCTGCTGTCTCGATTTGACAATCAGCGAACAATTGCCCACCACCGTCAAGATGGCCTCTTGACAGTCGGGCGTGACGTTGTTGACGCACCGTTGCAGACACACGATCATCGTGGTCAACGTTTCGGTGGGCAACGGCACGGCCTTCGTCAGCGCGTCGTCTTTGGCGATTTGCGGGCAACGGCGGTGCAGGAATTTGATGCACGCCATCACGAACGCCTCGCCGTGCTCGTTTATCTTGTCCGACAGCCATTTCTCCAGTTTCAGGTATTCCCTGAGAACACGTAGAAGGCCTTTACAGGTGGAGTGTAACCACTCTAAATTTCAATATTCAATGAGCAGACCTATTCAATAATAACAATCAATAATAATAACATGATGTTTACAGAGGGATACAAAAAAAATAAATAAATCAAATAAGCGATTAAATGAAATATGAGCAGTCCAATCAGAATTAATTGATACAAGGAGAGAGTTTTGTGACGAACTTAATAGATTTCATTCTGTTGTGTAGATTATAAATATTTATTCCACAAGAACATGATTTTTTTCCAAATTGGGTGTTCATGTTGACAGTTTTCAAATGTTCACTTTGTCTGGTGTGATACTCATGGGTATCAGAATTTATATTAAAAGTAAGATTCTAGTGTTTTATCATATTTTTAGTGAAATGGATGATAATGCATACTTTCATTCAATGAAAAAAATGGCAACATGGAAAAGCCCATTACAGGTGGAGTGTAACAACTCCAATCTATGCTGATATTATAAAGAGGAGATATTTGAATGTTTGTTTGTATTGAATAGGCCCCGAAACAATCGGACTGATTCGAATGAAAATTGGTGGGGCGGTAGCTTAGAACCAGGAGACGGTCATAGGACACTTTTTATCCCGGTACTATTAGGAAATTCAAGATGGCGGATCCAATATGGGAAAAAAGTAATTTATAATTTATAAAAAGTGACATTTTATAACCTGCCAACAGAGATGAAATGCCAAACTTTTTTCCCGTCACAGAAAAAAAAATTTTTCTAGAAATAATGTACATAGCAAAACAACGTTTACGGGGTCAGCTAGTATTCAATATGCACACGTCGGTGCCGTCTAGATCGCCAACACATGAATCCGCTTACCTTCTGGAAGCCAGACAGGCCAAATCGATGATGAAGGGATAGGACTGCGCCGATTGCGCGTTCAGCAGCATCGACAGCGCCTTCAGGTCCTGAGCCACGTCCAGGATGCGGGACAGTCTCGCCTGATCGCACTCCCCTCTCACATACCATTCGGCCATCGCGTGCATTATGATCGGCTTGATGTTGATGTTTTGCGTGTGCCAAGCGTGGTGCAAAATGATGGCCGAGTTGGGATGATTGCCGAGAAAGATCGGTATCAGATTGGTGAGGAGTTCTTGTCGGAGGAGAGTTACTGGGCCGGAGATTTGCAGCAAAGCTAGCACCAGGACGTCGGGGCAACTGTGCACAGGGACTTTGAATAGTTCCTAGAGGTAGAAGTGGGACAATTGAAATTTCCAATTTGTAAATGTTTAAATTTAGAGTCCCTGTATATATTTGACAGTTTTGCAGTGATGGGTCGCGTGCAAGATCTGTCAGATGACCGACCCTGGAGGTCAAACAACACAAAATAACCTCACTTTTCGGATTTGTTTTCGAGCGATTGGAAATAGATTTTCACTATTTGTGATTCTTAGGATAGTTATTTATTAAAGCATTCCATTACATTGTGCTGTTGTACAATGCACATAATATTCAACGAGAGACGAAGGAATACAGATTTTTCAGGTGAATTGTGATCTATAAGTGCTGTAAAAATGTTGTCACATCCTTTTAGAATTCCTTCTGCAATAGGAGCTAATAGAGTGAAAATGTCTACAACATACACGACCACAGTCCTTTTGTCATTTCTCTTTAGAATTACTTGAATGTCTACAACACACACGACCATCTTTTCCGTCAGTATTTCAGACCAGTCCTCCCATTTGATTGCACGAATCCAACCTTTTTGCTTTCTTTTAGAACGTTTACAGGTCGTTTTATAGAAAAAAAAAGGTTAACTTTCTCAGTTTTCTGTTGTATTTTGCGTTTTGAGATGAAATAGATTCAGGTTGGAAGAAGGACTTTGGTCAATAGCCATTTGGATATTGTTGTTCAATAAAGTACTACTTTTATTATCATCAATATTTTTAGATTCGGATTTTTTTCCAAGTGAATTAATTAAAAAAAAAACTGTGAGAGACAATGTTCAACTTGTAATTCATAATTGGAAACACGAAAGCGCCCCTTACAGGTGGAGTGTAACAACTTAAATTTTTAATATGCAGACCTTGGGGCAACATTTCATGATAATTTCAAGTTAAACTTTATTTTATAGAAAAAAAGGTTAACTTCCTCAGTTTTCTGTTGTATTTTGCATTTTGAGATGAAATAGATTCAAGTTGGAAGAAGGACTTTGGTCAATAGCCATTTGGATATTGTTGTTCAATAAACTGCTATTATTATTATTATCAACATTATTGGATTTGGATTTTTTTCAAGTGAATCAATCAAAAAAAGTCCGAAGTAATTCAAAATCATCATCATGACTTATTCCAACCCTGTTTTTAACTGTGAGAGCCAATGTTTACCTTGTAATTCATAATTGGAAACACGAAAACGCCCCTTACAGGTGGAGTGTAACAACTTAAATTCTCAATATGCAGACCTTGGGGCAATATTTCATGAGAATTTCAAGTGAAACTTAATTTTATAGTAAAAAATGAAATCTCCTCAATCCTACCTGGACGTGGGTGTAAAGTCCGCATTCTGACAGATTGAGCAGGAGTTCTACCAGCTGCAAGGAGCGCCAATTGGCCAGCTCTTTGCCGTCCTGCTCCGGCGGTGTTTTCAGCACGTCCACTGCTACGGGAATGCAGGAATAGTCGGCGAAACAGAAGACGTCCGGGTTTTTCAGGATGTGCTGTATCAGGCTGAACTGACCCTCTACATTCTGCCATCTTCACGAAAAATTACAAAAATAGTCAAGAGGATATATACATTGAAAGTCACCGCTATACCATAAAGGTTCATCTTTGATTCCTTCTTTACTGTCTTTTCCCTTTTGTCAAGTCTATCTCACTCTCACTTCACTCTCTCTCATCTAATCTCAGTTAATCTCTCTGTTTACTTTCTTAGAACGAACTGTAAATATTTAACTGAATGAATGATGTTTCTTGGGGTAATAAAGACAATCAATCAATCATTCAATCTCTCACCTCAATTGCTCTTATATTATCTGTCTCATCCCTTCTTTTAATAAATATATTTTATCAAGATTTACAATGAAATAACATGAAGGAACAGATTCATATCTGGTATTGAATCTAAGTTATTGAAATGAACAACAGATTCAAAAATGATGAAAATAAAACAAAAAGCTCATGAAAAGTACATTAAGACATGATGTAATGAATTAGTGAATGATAAATCAATCACTCAGGTTTGATTTTCTCTTTGAAAGAGGATAATATGTTTCTTGACTTCAATTTTGAATTGGGTGATATTTGTGCAACTTTTGATATCATCAGGTAAATTATTGAATTTTGAGATAGCTCCGTGAGTGAACTTTTTTTGACCAAGTGTAGAATTAGCACATATATTGTCTATTATGATGTTCATGGATTCGAGAATTCCTTACATATATGAAGCTAATTTCTCAGTTGATGATCCGAAATAGGTTTAAGTTCTATAATTTTGATTATTATTCTTGATGGTAAGATAAACTTCTTGAACAGCTTTATGATGAAGTTTTTTAGAAAGAATACTGTCAATCAAATTAACGTTGTATCTGTTGTTGCTGCAATCTGTTTTATGATATTGAGTTCTTTATTGAAATTTACTTCCGAAAGAAAATAATATATTGGGTCTTATCAGAATTAAGGGAACTAATTAACCTTTTATAAAATTGATCGATCGGGAAGTTCTCAGGGTGGAACCCGAACGTCTGCAGTCCCTGTCTGAGCGCATTCACCAGAATGCACAGTCCCTGTCTGTCTTTGATAATGAACTCGGAATGGTCCAGCTCGGCCACGATGATGTTCCACTGGAAGTTGGGCACGATCTCTTTGATGGCCTGTATGAATACCTCAAAGTTCCAGGAGGTGCTGCCGTCCGAGCTCTTATTGAAGGAGCCAGGCGTCTGCAAGCCCAGAGAATCCTCTAGGCCACTGTGTGTCCTGCACATAACAGCCAGAATTCGAGCTGCAGTCCCTGGAGATAAATCCCTGCCTCCTACAGGAAGAGAGAGAGGAAAATATGCTTTATTGTCTAAAAATGTGATAAAATAGTCTAAGACAATTTTTTTCTGGAATGGTTCCATTTATGGTGTGGAACACTAAGGCGTGAGTCTGCCTGGTCGGTCTGGGGGACTTATGTGGGGGCGAACGGGGAAAGTTGCAGAGTTTCGAAGGTAATCGACGTCATTCGTACAGTCATGAAATTTTGTGTACATATAGTATGTGACGACAGAAAGATACCGATGTTCTCAGTGTACCTACACAATATCAGTGATACATTTATCAACGAATTCGAAATATCGAGAATTAAAATATATATATATGTATGTATATATCAACGCCCGCTATCTCAATAACGAACCGTTTTAGAGCATATGTTTATGAAAAGATATACTATTAATTCATCGAGTTCTATCAATTTCTCGAGTTTTGGTCATTGAAATTTTTCCTCCACTTTTTGGTCTGCCATTCAGCATAAAAACAAGTATCACGTTGATCAGTAGGTCCTAGGAAAAAAATCGATTTTTTTTCAGAGCAGAGATAGCTCAATTCTGTTTTCACCATTGACTTTTTTGGGTCGAAAAACTGCCTAATTAGGTCACAGAACCGAAATGGAAGCGATATCAAGACAGATGACAAACATATAGATTTCAATCAAGGAAACTGATCGGTAGGTCCTAGGAAAAAAATCGAACTTTTTTCAGAGCAGAGATAGCTCTATTCTGTTTTCATCATTGACTTTTTTGGGTCGAAAAACTGCCTAGTTAGGTCACAGAACCAAAATGGAAGCGATATCTAGACATATAACAAACAATAGAATTCAGTTGAGGAAATTGATCAGTAGGTCTCTAGGAAAAAAATCGAACTTTTTTCAGAGCAGAGATAGCTCAATTCTGTTTTCACCATTGACTTTTTTGGGTCGAAAAACTGTCTAATTGGGTCACAGAACCGAAATGGAAGCGATATCTAGACAGATGACAAACAATAGAATTCAGTTGAGGAAATTGATCAGTAGGTCTCTAGGAAAAAAATCGAACTTTTTTCAGAGCAGAGATAGCTCAATTCTGTTTTCACCATTGACTTTTTTGGGTCGAAAAACTGTCTAATTGGGTCACAGAACCGAAATGGAAGCGATATCTAGACATATGACAAACATATAGATTTCAATCAAGGAAACTGATCGGTAGGTCCTAGGAAAAAAATCGAACTTTTTTCAGTGCAGAGATAGCTCAATTCTGTTTTCACCATTGACTTTTTTGGGTCGAAAAACTGCCTAATTAGGTCACAGAATCGATATGGAAGCGATATCTAGACAGATGACAAACATATAGATTTCAATCAAGGAAACTGATCGGTAGGTCCTAGGAAAAAAATCGAACTTTTTTCAGAGCAGAGATAGCTCTATTCTGTTTTCATCATTGACTTTTTTGGGTCGAAAAACTGCCTAGTTAGGTCACAGAACCAAAATGGAAGCGATATCTAGACATATAACAAACAATAGAATTCAGTTGAGGAAATTGATCAGTAGGTCTCTAGGAAAAAAATCGAACTTTTTTCAGAGCAGAGATAGCTCAATTCTGTTTTCACCATTGACTTTTTTGGGTCGAAAAACTGTCTAATTGGGTCACAGAACCGAAATGGAAGCGATATCTAGACAGATGACAAACAATAGAATTCAGTTGAGGAAATTGATCAGTAGGTCTCTAGGAAAAAAATCGAACTTTTTTCAGAGCAGAGATAGCTCAATTCTGTTTTCACCATTGACTTTTTTGGGTCGAAAAACTGTCTAATTGGGTCACAGAACCGAAATGGAAGCGATATCTAGACATATGACAAACATATAGATTTCAATCAAGGAAACTGATCGGTAGGTCCTAGGAAAAAAATCGAACTTTTTTCAGTGCAGAGATAGCTCAATTCTGTTTTCACCATTGACTTTTTTGGGTCGAAAAACTGCCTAATTAGGTCACAGAATCGATATGGAAGCGATATCTAGACAGATGACAAACATATAGATTTCAATCAAGGAAACTGATCGGTAGGTCCTAGGAAAAAAATCGAACTTTTTTCAGAGCAGAGGTAGCTCAATTCTGTTTTCACCATTGACTTTTTTGGGTCGAAAAACTGCCTAATTAGGTCACAGAATCGATATGGAAGCGATATATAGACAGATGACAAACATATAGATTTCAATCAAGGTAACTGATCGGTAGGTCCTAGGAAAAAAATCGAACTTTTTTCAGTGCAGAGATAGCTCAATTCTGTTTTCACCATTGACTTTTTTGGGTCGAAAAACTGCCTAATTAGGTCACAGAATCGATATGGAAGCGATATCTAGACAGATGACAAACATATAGATTTCAATCAAGGAAACTGATCGGTAGGTCCTAGGAAAAAAATCGAACTTTTTTCAGAGCAGAGATAGCTCAATTCTGTTTTCACCATTGACTTTTTTGGGTCGAAAAACTGCCTAATTAGGTCACAGTACCAAAATGGAAGCGATATATAGACAGATGACAAACATATAGATTTCCATCAAGGAAACTGATCAGTAGGTCCTAGGAAAAAAATCGAACTTTTTTCAGAGCAGAGATAGCTCAATTCTGTTTTCACCATTGACTTTTTTGGGTCGAAAAACTGCCTAATTAGGTCACAGAATCGATATGGAAGCGATATATAGACAGATGACAAACATATAGATTTCAATCAAGGTAACTGATCGGTAGGTCCTAGGAAAAAAATCGAACTTCTTTCAGAGCAGAGATAGCTCAATTCTGTTTTCACCATTGACTTTTTTGGGTCGAAAAACTGCCTAATTAGGTCACAGAATCGATATGGAAGCGATATCTAGACAGATGACAAACATATAGATTTCAATCAAGGAAACTGATCGTTAGGTCCTAGGAAAAAAATCGAACTTTTTTCAGAGCAGAGGTAGCTCAATTCTGTTTTCACCATTGACTTTTTTGGGTCGAAAAACTGCCTAATTAGGTCACAGAATCGATATGGAAGCGATATCTAGACAGATGACAAACATATAGATTTCAATCAAGGAAACTGATCGGTAGGTCCTAGGAAAAAAATCGAACTTTTTTCAGAGCAGAGGTAGCTCAATTCTGTTTTCACCATTGACTTTTTTGGGTCGAAAAACTGCCTAATTAGGTCACAGAATCGATATGGAAGCGATATATAGACAGATGACAAACATATAGATTTCAATCAAGGTAACTGATCGGTAGGTCCTAGGAAAAAAATCGAACTTCTTTCAGAGCAGAGATAGCTCAATTCTGTTTTCACCATTGACTTTTTTGGGTCGAAAAACTGCCTAATTAGGTCACAGAACCGAAATGGAAGCGATATCTAGACATATAACAAACAATAGAATTCAGTTGAGGAAATTGATCAGTAGGTCTCTAGGAAAAAAATCGAACTTTTTTCAGAGCAGAGATAGCTCAATTCTGTTTTCACCATTGACTTTTTTGGGTCGAAAAACTGTCTAATTGGGTCACAGAACCGAAATGGAAGCGATATCTAGACATATGACAAACATATAGATTTCAATCAAGGAAACTGATCGGTAGGTCCTAGGAAAAAAATCGAACTTTTTTCAGTGCAGAGATAGCTCAATTCTGTTTTCACCATTGACTTTTTTGGGTCGAAAAACTGCCTAATTAGGTCACAGAACCGAAATGGAAGCGATATCTAGACATATAACAAACAATAGAATTCAGTTGAGGAAATTGATCAGTAGGTCTCTAGGAAAAAAATCGAACTTTTTTCAGAGCAGAGATAGCTCAATTCTGTTTTCACCATTGACTTTTTTGGGTCGAAAAACTGCCTAATTAGGTCACAGAACCAAAATGGAATCGATGTCTGGACAGATGACAAACATATAGATTTCAATCAAGGAAACTGATCGGTAGGTCCTAGGAAAAAAATCGAACTTTTTTCAGAGCAGAGGTAGCTCAATTCTGTTTTCACCATTGACTTTTTTGGGTCGAAAAACTGCCTAATTAGGTCACAGAACCGAAATGGAAGCGATATCTAGACATATAACAAACAATAGAATTCAGTTGAGGAAATTGATCAGTAGGTCTCTAGGAAAAAAATCGAACTTTTTTCAGAGCAGAGATAGCTCAATTCTGTTTTCACCATTGACTTTTTTGGGTCGAAAAACTGCCTAATTAGGTCACAGAACCAAAATGGAATCGATGTCTGGACAGATGACAAACATATAGATTTCAATCAAGGAAACTGATCAGTAGGTCCTAGGAAAAAATCGAACTTTTTTCAGTGCAGAGATAGCTCAATTCTGTTTTCATCATTGACTTTTTTGGGTCGAAAAACTGCCTAATTAGGTCACAGAACCAAAATGGCATCGATGTCTGGACAGATGACAAACATATAGATTTCAATCAAGGTAACTGATCGGTAGGTCCTAGGAAAAAAATCGAACTTCTTTCAGAGCAGAGATAGCTCAATTCTGTTTTCACCATTGACTTTTTTGGGTCGAAAAACTGCCTAATTAGGTCACAGAACCGAAATGGAAGCGATATCTAGACATATAACAAACAATAGAATTCAGTTGAGGAAATTGATCAGTAGGTCTCTAGGAAAAAAATCGAACTTTTTTCAGAGCAGAGATAGCTCAATTCTGTTTTCACCATTGACTTTTTTGGGTCGAAAAACTGCCTAATTAGGTCACAGAATCGATATGGAAGCGATATCTAGACAGATGACAAACATATAGATTTCAATCAAGGTAACTGATCGGTAGGTCCTAGGAAAAAAATCGAACTTCTTTCAGAGCAGAGATAGCTCAATTCTGTTTTCACCATTGACTTTTTTGGGTCGAAAAACTGCCTAATTAGGTCACAGAACCGAAATGGAAGCGATATCTAGACATATAACAAACAATAGAATTCAGTTGAGGAAATTGATCAGTAGGTCTCTAGGAAAAAAATCGAACTTTTTTCAGAGCAGAGATAGCTCAAT